ATTTTCAGTGAGTAAATTGGTACTCGATCTAAGATATAAATGTAGATTCCAAACCGGGTTGGTATGGCTTAAATTAAATTTAGTCACAACAAAATCACGATACCAGTGCTCAAATGTATGGACGCGGAATCGTGCACCGGTACCGGCACATTACGGTCTAAATTCACCGAGTTTGCTGAAATGTTTCATTACCGTCTATGTCAAAAACTATTGTTTTATTTGGGTTTGGCTGCTCGTGAAACATATGCATGATGCTCATAACTCTTTTATTCGGCCGATTGATTAAACGGTGTCAAAAATATAATTAATATATACATCAAATTGGGTGGGTATTTTTTGCAATTTTCCTTACAAATATAAGTAAATATATCTGACCTTAGTCGATGCACATACAAAAAGATTGTGAGCTCTACAAATTCCCTAAAGTTCATTCCAGCTCATCCGAATAAAATCTTTAAAATCGAAAATGTTTCCTTCCGATCATCGCACTACTAGATGTTCTCTGTTTATACAATTGTCGATGTTGTGGTACTCAAATGAATGCCAGCTATGTGAGCCACCAAGCTATTTACAATGTTCGCTTACTTGCCTGCGAATCAACATTCTACTGATTGATATTCTTATGAACACAACTATAGGACCTCAAGGAATTTAGCAGTGTAGGCCAGTGTTTTGTACAAGCCATTTAACCAGGAGTCGTGTCACGTATCTTCCAAGTTTAGTGCCAGCAGAGTTTAAAGCCACAAGTCATTGTATTTTCGAATCACAGGTGGAGTCGCTGCTCTCTGGAGAGTAGCATGTCGATTCAGTGTCATTGAAGATTTCAAAAACAAAAATAAATATACGAATCTTACACCTTGCGTTAAGGCACCCTCTTATGACATTTACCTCCCTTCAAAATCAACAAGATAAAATATTTTCGAATCAGTCATTACAATAATAAATAATAGGCGTAAAAATCGTATTTCGTCGATTTTTTGTGGCTTTAAAGACTCCCAATATTTCTTCAAGTCTCTCTGGAATAGTCGACAGCTTCTTGGAGCAAGTCTACAGAACCTCCCAGCTTCGCCCAGACGTTTCCACTCACGCTGCCTACGTGCAGAGATTACAAGACAGGACACTGTTATGGTGAAACATGAATGCGCTACGTCACGGGGAAAATCCATCGCACTGATTTTCAGGCAGTCAATCGACAAACGATCAGTGGCGTAACTAGAGTGTGACAACCGTGGTTCGTGCCATTGGCAGCAGCGCCGTTTGAACAGGGAAGCAAAATCCGCGAAATTGTTAATTGAAAATTGTTTTTTATAAAATAATTTAAATATAAAATATGAGGAAAAGTATCTGATTTCAATAACAGTCATTATAAATTGTCGACCAACTATCAAAGGGGGCGCATTTTCTAACTTTACCATGGGTGCCACGTAGATAAGCCGCTGCAGACGATTCGTCACTTTCATTACCAATGACAATGTACAATGATGGTTCCATTACATTTGAACCCACGTACATTTGAACCCATGACAATTGCACCTGTATGGTATTGCACCTATGGAATTTTTTTTGTTTCACGGATAGTTAAACCCATACTAACCCTAACCCATGGGTTTTAGCACCCGCATATAGATTGAACCCGTGGATATACACATGGGTTCAAATGTACGGTCACCTACAATGATGGTAGGAAAATGGAAAGTAGTAGGTATGCTGTAGATTATAGTATGCTGTAGAGTAGATTGTAGTTAGGTGTAGGTTAGGTGTAAACTATTATAAAATACAATAAACATACGCAAGTTTTGCTAATTTCTATCTTAATACTTTGATTATTCAAAATGGCCGTTGACACAACCACGTAGGATCTGGTAACCTTGCCTAAGTGTTCTCTCTAATCGTCATCCAACCTAACTGAGATCGAAAACGTTTTTCAAAGGGGGCGTTGTCTTGCCGAGAATATCCGCGGATTGGCCGAAATAAAGGTGCGTCACCGCACGCCTGATTGAACAAGAAAAACGACAACGCGCGAGAAGGGAGGATAAATGAGCCCACGTACTTAGCCTACCGTCACTTCTAATTTAGCAAGCATATGTGGTTCAAGACTGAGCGCGTGAGAGTTTTATAGTGACACAAAAAGGCAAACCAAGCTTTTGTTTTCTTGATAAAATTCATTTGTACGTATATTATCCTATTGTGCTGTGTAATTTAACATGAGCCCGCTGTTCCGTGGTCGATTGATAATTTCAGGTAGTTTTTTGTAGAAGTTCAGGCGAATCCAGAAATCAGAGAATAGGTTGTACGTGACAATGTGGATTTGAAACTTCACCCAGTAATATATCCAAATCGTAGAAAAATGTCGTTGTTTTTTACAACAAATAAGTTACGGGCGAATAGACTAACGTACGAGTTTCGGAATTTCTTTCTCAAGAACATTTTGGGAATGATGTCGGATCAAGGAGATTATTTAAAAAAGAATAAATATTTTTTGGAATAACATATCTCAGCTTGATATGAAACTATTGTGTTGAAAATTATGCTATGGCATATTGTCTTCTCCGCTTTATCTATCGATAAATTATTGACTTTTTTTTTAAAAAATTTGTAAGTCAAGGTATATGTCCACCCGCTGATGCGGCCTGCCAAAAGTTAAGACTGTTATGTGATCATGTTTGGTAAAACTGATGAAATACTTTTCGCTTGATATATCAGTTGCGTATTCATTCTTCAATGGTCACCTGCGGTCGGTCACCGTGTTTCAATGACGCAAAAAATACGTGGTGCACGTTGCGTCACACACAATGCATAGACTAGAACGAACAAGGTATGACTAAGACCGTTAAAATTGTAGTAATCACATGTGCTTGAAAAAATAGTTTATTTAACGCTAATCTGTAGCAATATCTGATATTAGTATGATTGAAATATTACAGCAAACAGTTGAGATTTGAATTACTTCTGTCCTCGGCAGTGCTTCAGCAAAAAAACATTGACTAATACAGATACTAATGGTAAATGTTGTGAAAATAAATCGAATTCTTGTTTCGAAAAGTCGAGAAAGTTTCTGGTTTTTGGACAGCGTCGTGTAATATACCGAATGTCTAATAACGTCATATCATGACCAACAGCATATGCTATTTTGTTATACATATTATATATATTTTGATATACATATTACTTTAGTCTAGTTAACAGTGAAATAATTTGCACGTACTTTTAGCGGGCTGTTCTGCACATCATTTAGGTAAGTTACTCACAGATTCCTGAATTTCAGATGCGGTAACATTAACCAACATTAGACAACATTAAAACTGGATTTTTTACACTATCATGATAAAACTTTATTGCGTCAGATACAGTGATGGGATTCAAATTTTTGTCAGCCGGTTCCATCATACAAATGTCATATTTTTAGGCGGTTCTGTTACAAAAAGTCATGTAATGCTAACCGGTTTGCTGATCTCATGAAATTCCGCGAGACGGTTCCATAGAACCGGTGCGAACCGGCTGAATCCCACTACTGCTCAGATATACCGTAAAATACCGGTTAAATGAGGATAGTTTATTAGTAAGTCGCGATCATATTAACTCTCGTGATAGCTGTGATTTCGTGTTATATGGAATTGCGCAAAACGCATTTATTGATTCATCAATCTTATGGTGCTTCATTTTGCAAATTAATATTTAAATCAATATGTGATGTGATTGCTGCGTAATCGCAGGTCATTTAGTGATCTATCAACCAAGCACTAGTGCTTCCGGACGTAGTTGAGTTTGTTTTTCCTTTCTTATTGATATTCCGGTCTTTGCGTCTATTGTTTGATATTGAATATTATTCAGACTTCTTTTCATGTTACGTAAAGCAAGTACGCACTGGGGGGATATTTAAATGAATTTAATACAAATATTACCAAATAAGTCATTGTGAAGCGGATTGGCTGTAGATGGAGGGCGATAACTTGAATAAATTGAAAAATATTTTAGGTGTTGAATCCTAACCTATCTTTTCAACTAGGCCTGCGGCAGAAAGCGTGACACGCCGTTCTGCTGCGTTACTGAGAACAATAGTTGCAGTCGCCAACATCCTGTTACCAGCAAAATTTAAGTGTAAAACTACAGATCTTCGAGCCGACTGGACTATAGTTTCAGTTTTGTAAAGTATACTGAATCGAAATTGTAACTTTACAATCTATGATTATTTGGATAATTGTCTACGATACTTCACTTCCTAAAGCGCCGTTTTTTTAAGTTTAGGTTGAATGACAATTGCGCAATTTAATATATTAGTTCATCTCGTACGTGGGTAGAAAGTATTGGACGAAATTGTAGCTTACCAGTGATTATTTAGATAATGATTATTTAGATGCGTTACTTCCTAAAGCGCTGTTTTTTAAGTTTAGGTTCAATGTCAATTGCGCAAGTTAACATATCCATTCCGTACGTGGATAAAAAAAAAGTGGAAAACTCATATCAATAATATAGTGATAAAATTCTGCAATAATAGCTGTCATGTTCAAGAGTTAGTATTCATCAGTATGAAGGTTCACTTATAAAAGTTATTTCTAGAAAATTACAGTTATGTGCGCTTAAATAACTGTTGTTTCCAAGAAGACTGTCAAAAATTCTGGCGTCGGTCATTATGTACCGTCGCGTTATTGAGTCTACGTTTCAATAGCGCGCCGTATTTGAGTTGTCACCTACGACTTTCTCGTATGTCAGTGTGCTCTTGAGTGAGTGCTGTGAATTTGCTTAGAACGATTAGATTTGTTTGATCTCTTGTGAGTTAAGCTCGCAGGTATAACAGGATACGGACTTGACGGTGGTTTATAATAGTAAGAAAAATTTATATGGTTGAGTTATCTTCATTAAATTCTTTATTATTTCGCCTACCAAAGCATAATACTGTAAAAACATTTGAAGGTCAAACTAATACCACTGGAGTGAAAACGTGACAGTAATGAAATTGGCTGATTTCACTCAATATTTAAATTGAAATATTTTAAATTTGTGTTTTTATAGAATATACCTTCAATAACACTATATACTCACAATGTCTACTGAAGTGGCACAAATTGGGGATAAAATGTCGGATATGGGTATCGAAGACCATCAGGAACGAAAATTTTACCCGAAAAAGAATAAAAATGTTGTATTACCGGCCCCTAATAACATGGACTCGATGATCAAAGGATTGGAAATGCTTTTTGATTCTGACCACGTGAATATTGATGAAGTCAAGCGTTACATGTCAGAATATAAAAGCAATCCCTCGGATTGGCATAAATATGCAAAGTTTGATGCACACAAGTAAGCAAATTTTTGATAATTTTATATGATATTCTTTTCGAAATCGAACTTTAAACGATCGCTCGACTATTTTTAATCACCCTAAAAATCGTGCAGAGCGCCGGTAGTCTATTGCCCATATATGGACAAGCGTCAAACACGAATGCAATGAGCTAGCGTAAATTGTTATCTCAGAAAGGACTATAATGAGATATATTATCCCTATTGAAGGCAGGCTTTCCTTTCCTGATTCTTCTAGCCGAAATCGTTTTTTCCCTAGACTATTATTTGTCAAAAAATAATTGAAATATGCTATATTTATGTATAATCATCAAATCAAACCGCCGACGGTAACAGATATCTGTTTTAGATATCGCCATCACTTTTATACCGTATAAAAATGTTTTATATTTTTATTGCTAATGTGAATTTATCTATCTTTATGCCGTTCAAATTATTTTCTATTATATTTATCATCTCATATAATATTGATATTAAAAAAAATACTGCTCATAGAGTTTTATTATTTGGCGCTTCATGCTTTGTCTGGAAAAACGGAAAAAAATTATTGCCTAACCCTAACCGGGTACATACACTACGAGAGTGTGTATTTAGATTGGTTAAGTCTACGAAACTTTCGTTTCTCGGAATCTTTCTGTAATTTATGTTACCAAATTTTATTTGTTGAATACGTTATTGATGAGTTATATGTTATGAAATCTGAATTACGTATAACCCGAAGCCTCCGACAACAGCTCGCTGGAAAACTACTGGTTATGATACCCAATTATATTTCAAAAAAGTTCCGGTTTAATCTTCGATTCATAAACAGTATTCATAATTATATGACGTTTATAAAGACACTATAAAATAGTTTTCACAAATATTTTTCGAAACGCAAATTTACATAAGTTTATATTTATTTTAAACCACGCAAATTTTAAATATTATTACCAAAATTATTGAATATGATTTAGCAATGATTTTTTTGTATGTTTCATTCAGGTACACAAGAAATCTCGTCGATATCGGAAACGGAAAATATAATCTTATCTTGTTATGTTGGGGCGAAGGTCACGGCAGGTAAGACAGATTTTAAAAACTCAAATATGACACTTTTTTCATCATTTGGATAAAAAAGGATTTGACGCGAATGACTACTGCTTATAATATAGATATGTTCGTATCCATCCGCTATTTTTGAAAACAACAAAGGGAAATGATTCATTTCTTTGTATATCTTCTCTGACGTAAATGTATTTTATTTGTTCAGGACATTTTGGGAGCTTGAATTGTTGAGGCTTATATACGAAAAATCATAATATTTTGTAAACGCATGTATGGAACTTTACCATCAGTTGTTTTGTGATGTGATTGAGATATGGTCGTTAAAAAGAAATAATGAAAAATGAACAGAAATGTGACGTCATTGAATAAAAAAAATGTGATAAAATGCCGTTTTGAAAAGAAGAAATCGGGGACGCTTGATATCCCCCATTTGATTATTTACTAAATTTTAATTTCTCTCTACTGTTCTATTGGAAAAAATTTTAATATTTTTTATATTAATTTTTTTTTTAAAGTACTTGGGCGGATGGGGGATAAAAGAATTCTTGATCTTGGTGCCATACTTCAAGGTTATAATATACTTTTTCGCTCATAATAAATTCTTTTAGTTTCACTAAAATATATCATTTCTCGATGATGATAAATTCAATGCGGTTTTCATTCGTTCAGTGTATATTTGAAAAATTAACGGCTTCAAATCGAAATATGCATTAAAAGCCGCGGTGATAATTGTTTGACAATTACTAATTAATAATCTATCAAAATAATCAGCTAGTTAATTTGGTATGCATGCCGGAAACTTTTCAAATTATGATTGATTGCATTACATACATGATTGCTATGTATTCGAAATTTTCATGACCGATGGTCAGTGAGGACGACCCTTACCATGCGGTCGGTGGGTGTGTGGAAAAAGGGGTGTGTGTGGGCGTTGTCTGGGTTGTAAAATGTCTGTGCAAACAAATAGTTGACGTGTTGCAACTGTATTAGTGATCGCGAGCGTCAAAAATAACTTCATGTCATCGTCGGCCGAAAATAAGTGTTTCATTTGGCATCCCATCAAAATACATTTCTTTTAAATGTCATTATGACCTCACCGTAAACGTAGTAAAAATTACCTGTACCCGTTTCATGAGTTCATATTTTCGTCTGGACATCACACGACAAATTTTTTTAATAATTGCAACGGTAACAGAATCAATTAAAGATACACGTGTACGGTTCCATTTACAAATTGAATCGTAAAAAGGCACGAGTCTAAATCACTAACAATTTCTATGCTAATGAGGTACTTGGCAATGAGTTGAAAGCGGGCGCAGGCTTAAGTAAGAATCCAAATGGAAATAAATCCACTACCGACTGTGCCGCTTTCCCGTTTTTCCTGTTGTGTACATCACCACTTAATTTCTTGTGTTTTGCAGTATTTAATTCAGGGTGTTAATGGGTGGATGTACGCTATTTTATTTAACTTAAGTTGACTGGTATTTCATTGTTTATGTGATATAAATTTCCGCCACTTTTTCAATAAAACCGCTTTTAAACCTTGTTTTAGAAGTCTACGACGGAGCCGATAACTAAATTTAGACCATATCACATTTTCCACTTCTGAGTATAGAAATTGATGTACGAAAAAAAAATAGATATTGCGTTGCCAGCAGAATTGTACTTTTTAAAACTGATACTGAGATAGTAAAAATGTGTGTATTCGGTTTGTAGAACTGGCATGAAAAGTGGAAGTCATACTTGTATTCCACTTCTGATCCATTCAAATTAAGAATTGATTAGGGCGTCCAATAACGTGTCCTACTAATACTGGGTTTTACCAAATCTGTGTTCAAAATTTTCTTAGGACTATAACTTTGATACCTTTATAAATAACTTTTTATCATTTCAGCTACAGTGGCAAAAAAAAACGTTTTTCAAAATCGCCTTCAACATTAGTGGCAAAATAAACAGGTACAAACAACGCTTGACGTTCAAAATTTAAATGTTGAGATTAAACTTTCAGATTGTTTGTTATCTCTATTCTAGTCGTCGAGATCGTTCCCGTAGGCGAGTAAACAGTGGTTTGAATATTATAAACAAATCAAGAATTTAATTACCGCTATATAATACAGTCTCTGTAACGAGGAAGACTGTTTGTGTTTGGTTCAACTTTACTTATCTAAACAGCAAAATAACTCGCTAAAAACATTGATTAAAATAAAAAAAAATGCACATTGCCTATTTCGTGAATGTTCTAATCCAGAGATTTTCAAACTTTTCCAAATCACTGCGCAATAAAAAGAAATTAAGTTTTAGAAAATATATGGACATTAAACAATGCGAAGTTGTTTTTGTGTATAATATACACGATAGTGTAAACGCGTCTGAGTGTCCGATAAAGCCAGTCGCATACCTTTATTTGGACCTCCTGAAATATACGCATCAAGATGGCGCACAACCTGAACTCAGGTTGTGTACAAGGTTATGGTTCAGGTTGTGCGACATCTTGGTGCGCATATTTCAGGAGTACCCTTCATTTCAATGCTGATTTCAACAGAATTGATCATTTTATGTCAAGTTTTAAACGTGGGGGAATAAGAAGTGTGTTTTATAAAAAATTGATTTCAGTGTCTTCTCGTAGGCCTACCTATAAATAGGTATTCGTATTTAGTTTCTCTTTATTGCGTCTCGAAGATAATGGATACTTTAGTTCTGGGTGAGTGCTTGCGGGTTTTGTGAAACATTTCAGTCTCAAAATTTACGCTAAGATTGAGACTGTTCATTTCCCATGTGGGCTAAATACTTGCGGTTACCTATGCATTAGATTTAGATTCTTGTAAAACATGAAATTCCATTAAATAACAACTGACCAAGTGTAGATTTTAGATAAATAGCATATCCAATGTATGTTAGGTGCTTGCTCTGAATGATTTTTCATACTGATTGTGAACGCCCACCTTTTCGACCAATCAAGTTATACTATTTGGCATTGAGTCATATATTGTTTCGGTGGCGCGTTTTTGAATCCCAATAGAACGCCCTTGATTCGTGGAACTTCTTGCCGGATCCGGGGTTAATATAGGTTGCACTAACGCGTGATATTGTGACCGTAGGTTAACTTGTAATTGGTTGTGTAAATTTTATATGTTTGACTTTAGGATGACATAAATATGAGCTTGAACTTCAGCCATCGTGCATTTTTGCACGTATGCTGCTTTTTCCTTTTGCCCAAGATTGACAAAGCGACTTGAAACGGCAATTTGCAGTAAGTAAGGTATACTTCGGCAAATACACGCTTGTTTTTTTTCACAAGTTGCACAATTTCCATATAATTCCTTCTTCAGTGATTTTGTCACTCTAATGGGGCCTTGTAGAATTATACCACACATTTAATTTGTCGAGGCAGAAATCCGCCCACATTCTGTTAAGGGTCTGAGAGATCATTTGTTGTAAATAGTTTGCAATATTGCTTTCGATATCGATATTCTGATTGCGTCCAAAATAAGTGACGCAATGTAGTAGTTCCACAACATCATTTGATCATATTCACAAGAACAATAGTTTTATGTTTCGAACGCCACAACTTCTTGTACAGTTGCGACCTTAGTTATCGAGCGATTTTTTGTCATGTGACCACGGTGTGAACACTTTTCAGCTACATAAAGCGATCAGATATCACTCGTACATAGATCAGATTTTTATTCTCTTTCTTTTTATTTTATTTCAAGTTCATATTGAGTTGTCTGCCTTTTTTAAACTCCTCGAAGGATTTTTCTAATCCGGACACAGTGGTCGATTGTCAATTTTCCCCTCATCACTCAAATCGCTCAACCACGCATTCAACTATGCTCGGAAGGAGGGTTCATGGGAGCCGGACCCCACGTTTTCCGGGCTCGCTACCTGACAATTAGAAATTTCAGACCCCACTTTCTTGAAAATTTCTGTCTAAGCCCCTGGTTGGTTATGATTGTTGTATTGTATCTGACATAACCGCAAATTTATGTTATAAATTTTTAGATTAATATTTTTAATAAAAGTGAAACATTTTTAATATATATGAATATTTCACTTTTTACAGTTCAATTCACGATCATTCCGATTCACATTGTTTTTACAAAATGCTCGGTGGAAGCTTGACAGAGACTTTGTATGAGTGGCCTAAGGGTAAAAAGAAAACAGTAATGAAACAGAAAAATTCATTTTCTCTCAAAGAAAACGAAGTCGGATATATCAATGGTGAGATATACGTTTGTAAATATCAATTGTAATTAATTAATTGATAATTAAAAAATAACAATTGTAAATTTTACTATCCTAGATTCATATGGTCTCCATCGAGTTGAAAACAAGTCTCACACAGAACGAGCAGTAAGTCTCCATCTTTATTCTCCACCATTCGATATGTGCCAGAGTTTCGATGAAAGAAGCGGTCATATTACAAGGTGTAAAGTTACGTTCTGGAGCAAATACGGAGAGCGAACGCCATACGTAAGTTTTACCTTCAGATTAACAAATTTTATTTCTAAGTGATTCAATAGTCTCGCTGCACATTAACACAAATATATTTCTGTAACGTTTCGTCTGACCAAGGTCAGACTTCCGCAGACATACATAGATCAACTGATATATTATATGTGCGATATTACTATTGTGCGTCGTATTTAAATAATTCAAATTCAAATATCGTTCCTAAATAGTGGGAAGTTTTATTCGAAGCAGTGTTTTATTAACTGAAAAATGCATCTGAAAATACGTTTTTTACTGATACTTCGATAAAGCCACTCATGTTTCAACTTTCAATGGGGTATTGTATCGTTTTTGTGATTGCCTGTTCACTTCTTGGAACGCGCCTTTTAAAATAACGTCTGTTGTTAGATTGCTCGCCATTTTGTTTGGGTTTCCGCGCTTTTCTAGATACGCCATTCCGCTATACAACAATACTATTTTGTAGCCTATGTTGTTGTTTTAACTTGCACATGATGGCTGAAGTAAATGGATGAGACTATGGTACCTCATTGCTATATGAATGGCTTTCGTAACAATATAGATAAACACACGGTTTGTTTTCATAACATATTCGAATTTTGAGTCCGGGAGATGAATGCAGCGCAGAAAGACTATAGAATAAGGTACCGAGAAAAATAAATGAGCTCAAATATATATCAGGATGAAATTGACATAAATACCACACACTTATAGTAAATTTGAATATATCATTGACATTAACTTTCAAAACTACCTTCGTTTCGTTTCGGGGGTTTACGCATTTACTTATATAAGCTTAAAGGTGAATTCCGATAAGATTAATATTTAAAATTGTCAATGGTAAGTGCGGATACAAGAGCAATTGCTTTAAACACGAAGGTTTTATTATGATAACACACCAGTTAATTTTCAATCTTTCTAAGAATACATCATGCTCCACAGCGAATACGTGTTTTCTAATCCACTTCACCGTGCTTATACATATCATTTGGTTTATAGAAGTGCAAAAACCGATCAAAATTTGTTTCTAAACAAGCTTTAGCCGTAGGTGAATTGGTTATAACCTAGCCCAGGATAATCGATTATTATTAGTTGTGTATTCACGTATCACGTGTGCAAGTAACTATCACAAATTTTTGTTTTATAATATTATGAATTCCGTCCAACTACCGTCCGAAACGCCATTTTATTACATACGATTTTATAGGCTTACGGGAAGTACCCATTGTTAAAGTAAATCCTGGTTATTATAAAAATAACAAAGAAAACAAATCGCGCAGAACGGGAACCGACAAGCCCAATTATATATCTATGGTGAATTTCGTAAAACGGTATGGGCTGCAATATTACAAAAGCAGTACTGTGTGTGTATCTAACCTGTATATAAGAATGTCGGCAACATTTTACCTTGTCAAAAAGACAAACCGCAGACATAGTGTGTCGTGAGGATGTCTCTTGATATTTAAGTATCTTTTATTTTCGTCTTTCAACCATGTATTTGGCAATTTTGCAGAAAAAAAACGTGTTTGGAACTAGTTTCTAACGATACCTTCAGGCTATTAAACTTGCTCTAAATTGAAGTAGATAATAATCTGGACATTGCGAAATGTAGGGAAAGAAGGTGAAATAAAAAATAAAAGTCTTCGTAAGAGACACTCAGACTACCTCACTGTGGCAAAACGCGCATTCGGCAATTATACGATCAAGGTTAGACTGTTATTCAAGTCTAGGAATTCATGCGGTATGCGTCGTGGGACTTATAATTAAAATGCTTTATAACTATACTCCTTAAATTCCAAGATACATTTTTGGCGGTGTTTGCTAAACAGTACGCTTGTCTCATGCTATGTTGGTTTTACACAGTTTTTTTTTATAGAATACTTTTGTAGAACGGTATTTATCAAATCAAGTTGAAATAACTAGACAAAACAAATGCACTCATTTTTCTCATTTTTCAAATCATAAAGCATGCTGCCGATATGTTGTACTGAATATAACTGAAGGCCGCAGACAGCAAACAAAAAACGGGCCGTAAAATATGATTGATTTACAACAATAGTCAATTGAAAATTAAATTTAGTTGTAGGCTTGAAAATGCAAATTTAAGGTTCTAAAAACTCAGGAATATGAATTTATTTTATCGAATTAGGTCTGGTGAGCCGTTGGCAAATTATTGTGATCTCTTTTTACAGAATGTGAAAGAATATAGGTATTTTTATGATTGTCCATGTCCGACCACATGACGACCGCCATTGCTTCATAGGTACACATTACAAATAGGCCGTACGTCAGAAAAAAAATCGCCTGACTAAACGCTGGCCATAGGCTACTTATTACTTAATCGACGCGTACCGGTATTTTTCCATTAAATGCGCGCCAAAAAGAAATCTTCACTTTAAGTCACGGACATGAAAATTGTAGACGTACCAACAAAAATCGGCCAGGCGGAAATCGGCTTGGCTATATAACAGCGTGGCGTATCTTTTTCATATATCCGCCATTGTGACAAATAATCTGTAATGAATAGTTTCTCAAGTAATGGTTATGTAGGCAACGGCCAGTTGTGTGATTTTCCGCCGGAAATAATGCTGTGCTTGGGTATCACGTGCCTTATGAAGTAATATGTGACGTCTTATGGCTAGAGCCAATGCCGGAGGTTTCAACTCGGAACCGCTGTCTTCCGTAGCAAACGTTTCACTTCATTCCCTACATAAGTATAATCATATCATTGCGCTGCCTATCCTTTCTATTATTTTTTCACCTTTATGTTTCAGGTCAAACCCTCCAAACCCGAAGGCGAAAACAACTGAACGAAATTTCAACTGTTCACTGCAGATCATTGATATTATTAGATCAAACTTGAGACAGCGTGTATATTGATGCTAGATACTAAAGCTTTAAAGAATTTCTCAGTACATATATACAAGCAATTCTAGCAGTAGGGAAGGCATGCTACTTGCTTTCATGAACAACAATTATAAAATTGGTGGTTTATGTCAAATGTTACGGTACAAAATTTACTATATGGTATGGTTTTCAATATATATAAATCGATTTAGAAATTGTAATTTCTTTTTTTACTTTGATGATATTTTCAAACCAACTGTTTTACAGCATAGTTTCGAGCCACAATCTTTAATTCATTTTTTATTTGTTCCATATTTCTCTCATCCGGCCAATTTTTTAGTTTTTATTGATTGTTTTACAAACTAAGATATTTTATTTTTAAAAGTCACTGCTAATTGTAGAGTTTCAAGCTCAAAATCCACCAGAAGACGAGAGTTATTGATGAATGAAAATTCACCAACTATTGTCCATGACTTGATTGCATTGCCAGAATTTATGGGAAGTGACGGTTTGTGCACAATATCGATCAGTTTAAATTTTTTCAGGTAGTCTAACACAACCACAGTTATGTCATCACCAGCCGCATCAAAACTTGAATGAACGAATTATTAATTTTGTTTATAATTCACATTTTGTCAGCGAATCGCAACATTTTTCGCTCTTTATGTACAGAAATTCCTGTAGGTATGCTTTCGCTCAGAATACACATTTGCAATTTTTATTTGATCGAAAAGGGGCTTATTCCATGTGCCGCCCATGCTTCCTTGACAATGATTGTTACATAATTTTTGAGAGTATTGCTATGTTCTTGATTTTACGATACTGTAATAGTTCTCTATGTTTTTTCAATACATTTTGACTAATGCAGTTGGCTGTTTCATTATTGTAGTTCGCCTGTAGGACGTTCCTGGAACCATTTCAAAAAATTAAATGTGAGGTTGAATTTAAAATTTTTGAGAAGCATAATGACAACTGATAGACCTATGCTATACAGGAATAGGGATAAGAATATAGCAGGTGGAACATTTAAACAATTGGTCAAAGTACATCTGTTTTAAAAGAGAAAGTATGGATGTTTCCTCAATCTTCGATGTTCTTGTTTATTTCCGTAATAATTATAGCTAATCAGTGATGTAACTATTGTAATTTTCCCAGCCGCTTAGACACTTCGTTCGTTCACACAGATAGATATTCAAGCATGGCTGTAAATATTGCCTCGTTTTGCGTGTTTCCAACAATCAGTTGTAAATGAAGTATTTTAATTTTCATATGTTATCCGACGAGATATAGTTTAGTTGCAATAATCAAAAATTGAACCTCCTGATGCGACCTCCTTTTGGGTACTCCTGAAGTATGCGCACCAAGATGGCGCATAACCTGAACTCAGGTTGTGTACCAGGTTAGGGTTCAGGTTGTGCGACATCTTGGTGCGCATACTTCAGGAGTACCCAAAATTAGCCCCAGAAAAGCTGTGAATGATGTAAAATTGAAAAAGCGCGTAAGCCTACATGTCGCCTGTCCGTGACTTTGACATAGCCGCAGATTAATGCAGGGGTGTCATGTCTATCTCGGGATATAATAAATTATGGTTTAGAGCGGATTGACTTCAAGGCATAGATAAATGAAAATCGACTACAGTATCTAGCTAGATGTTTACTCATATGTCTCAGAAATAGGGTTACCATATTTTTGTGATCTCAAAGCGGGACGCCTCCAAAGATCATATCTGTGATTTTTGTACCTTTAAATTTAACATTGAGGGCCTACATTTAAAACCATCCCGACCGTCTTCATTGGCCATATTGTAATCGAAAGTTCATGCGCTGTCTGTCTAAATATCGGTTTCAGTTAAAAAAAATAGACATAAATTTACGTTAAAGTTAAGCACCCGTAACCGTAACAAATGTAGCAATTATCTAACAAAACAACGAAACAAACAAAACCACGCACCCACCTTCAGTAGGAAGGCTAACGGTACGCTACACAGCAACAACAGTATCAAGAACATTCTAATAGGTATTTTTCGTGTATTATGCTGACAGTTGAACGCCTAAGCGGGACATTTGGCTGACCTGTCGGGACACCGGGACAAGGCGTTGAAAACCGGGACTGTCCCGCCTAAAGCGGGACGTATGGTAAGCCCACTCAGAAATATTCTATATATAATGGGGTTTTAATTTGAAAATTTGCGTGAACGACACCTTGTTTGTAACCTAATACTAAAATGTAGCTCAGTTTTTCGGATACGCTAAAAATCGAAAGCAGAATAACTGCAAAATCGTGTTTGGATGATAAAATTCGAATATATATTTCATGAAAATCAATATACGGTGTATAACACCCATCCCAGCTTCCAAATGAATGATTTGTGTCTACAACGTTTTCGACATATCATTTCAGTTTTCGATCTCTAAAGTTAAAATTTTTGCCTAGCAGTTATTCCCATTCCAATCAGCAAAACTTATAAATACAACAAAAAACACCCTTACCGCAGACGTCATTATGGCACAACAACGGCCATTTCAACCAATGATCATTTTTTCAACACATTGGAATCCAAGGTTAAACCATAATGATCGAGGTGGGTTCATGTTCGTTTGAAAACCTATTTGCAATTCCAAGCAGTGTTTTGTGAAATGAGTCAACCAAGAGATAGACAATAAATTCACACTTCAATCAATTGAAGATGGATCATTTTAAGCCTCCCTTCCCTCCTGGGTGTTCGAAATGTTGAGTATTTAACGGAAGCTTGCAGAATACCACAGGGGTTCGACAGGCATGCAAAGGTTAAAATAAAAACCACTGGTATGAAATTTTTAATGGAAACGACACAAACGCTTGGCTGGTGGAACTGATATAATAACATGTCTTTGAAAATTACATCATATCGACCAAATTCTCTTCTCATTGCAACAAATGTGGAATGCTATCTATATTAGAACTCGCAGGAGACTTGGCCAGGGACGCAATTCATTTAATAGAGGATAAACTTGCATTCGTAACTTTGTTGATAAACAATCTGCAATCGCGGGAATATTTTTACTACTATCATACCGCACACATTTCATTTGTACAGCAAAGTATCCCAAACCGTGAATTTAAACTTTTATGCAAGACAGACAATCAAACGAATACGCGTTCATGTTATGTACCATATGTTATATTTTACAAAAAAAAAGTACAGAAAGACAATTGTAATTCAAAGGCGCCTAATATACTGGTCACCAAGCACTGAAAATTCAAGTTGGGCAGAAACTTCTATGGGCTGTCATTTGGGATTTCGAAAAATTAGGATGCAACCACACGCCAAATTTCATTTGAAAACAAACACGAGTTTACATGCTCAATAAATTTCAATTAATCGCATGATTAAAATTTAAGGAAACAAAAAGTCATAAATCCCAAGAATTTTATTATGAACAAAGTTCAAAGCGAGCGCGGAGTAAATCCGGTGGCCAATTTTGGAGATGCAAATTCTGCTACTTTTCGTATGAAATGACGTAAATAAAAGTTTATGTAACCACGTTCTATTGGTTATCATCGCATAAAAATGAAATAGAAACATATATATATATCACGGGCCCCAACCTATAACAGGTGGGTCCTAGAAGCTGTACTACACAGATATTAGCAGGTTTATAAGACCATGATATTCTTTTTTTTCAATTACTATTACCATCACAGACAATTTTGAATAAGAATGGATCAGCGCGCTTAAACAACCTCCATATGAGTCAGATTGTCAAGGTCTTATCGGGTGATATTCCTATAGCGACCGCAAGAATTTTTTCACAACTGACAAGTTAGCTCCTTTCATAGTATCAGTATAAAAATAGCAGAAAATACAGGGTCACCCCCCAAAAAAACGGAACACTATAAAGAAAAAATACCTTTAATGCAAAGCGTCCTAGATTACTAAATTTTTCTGATACAAATATGAATAAGAGTGTTAAATTTTCTCCATTTTGTAGAATTAAAAAAAAATTAGGGGTTCTGTTTATTGGGAACGATCATCCTGTACTCCCATATTATTTTTTTTAAGCAAGCAATTTTAAGCACATCTGTTTTCAGAAACTAGATTTAAATAATCATCATATTAAAATAATCTACATAAAGTCAAAAGAAAACGACATGGCTGCAAAAACATAATGAAACTTAAGCAAAGACGGATACAACAAATAAACACATTCGGCGTTGAAAAATATCTTGCCATGTTACATCATCATCAACTGGATTTTTCGATACAAAACATAGGCAATGATGATTATATCTTCTTGTATTTTTTTATGCCGATTGACCCCATTTCTTCATTCATAGCAAAATCTTCTGTCGGAATTGCCTGCTTGCTGTGATCAAAAAAATATTAAAACTTCCTGGAGGAAAACAAAAATATGACGAGACGCGTGCCTAAGTCAGTTCTGGATTGAGAAAGCTTCCATCTTGAAAGGCAGAGCCCCGCAATCCGGATATTCTCTTTGAAAAACCAGGACTCCTCATTACATAATTATATTTCAAGAATTGAATAAAAACATCAAAAACTAAGATGATTGGATTGATTTCCACTCTGAGACTTCATCGACATTGCTAAGATATTTCCTGGTTCCAGCTTTTTGGCACATCTGGCTGTGACGGAAAGAATCCATATAGACACATTTTTCTAAACGAGGTACAGGCATGTGTGTAGATAGATGATGGCTGAAAAGAAGAGCCACAGAGGCATCAAGATTAGGCATTTATACTTTGAGTAACTGGATCTTGGTGGCATTTGTGTATTGAGTGAGTGATGTAACCTGCTTAAAAAACCATGGAGTGAAGATGACGCAACACCACTATTGAATATAAAGATAGCACAGAGGTACCTCGAGGATATATTGATTTCCTTGATTCGAAGAAAGAAACTAGACTTTCTAAATACTCAAATTGCACTTGCTGTACGATTTGCTTTGACTATATGTAACAGCAATGCGCGTAAGATGCCGGAATTCGCCATCATGGAAAAGAAAGTGTGAGGGGACAAGAACTGAACCCTGTGGAACACAATGAGCGCACTGACATTTCCTCTTTCAGATCTTCTTCGTTGCTCCATCCCCAGTGTCTTCAGACTTCTTTTCATCCTTTCCACCATTCCAGTGAAGATACTTACTAACAAAGGTTGCTTGGCTTACAGGTGATCGAATATTGACAAAATGAATCGCGATATTTGCATATGCCGATCATGATTCACTTTCCTCACCGCCGATAAAGCTAAAATACTGCGTCGAAAACTTACGTACTTTTAAAAAGTTCACATATGGTAGGGGCTTTCACCACCTTCATTGAGCTTTGGATAACTACTTCCCTTTTCTTCTATGCATTTCAAACGACCGAAGAAGGACAGAAATACTCCCTTTTCATACATTTAAAACGACAACGACGCACCAAGCAAGGGTATAAAGATGACCCTTATTAACCTTACTAACTTTGTGAAACGGATTGGTTGGCTTTGCAATCGATTTTTGATTGATCGGGTGTAAGGGAGACACCCATTTCCGTGAGCAATTTGATACAATCTTTTTCGGTTGGAAACGCCAGCACTTTTGTCAGGTATTCAACCGGTACATTCGGTCGGAAACTAATAGAAATGAGACATAACAGATTAAATAGAGAAATGGCATGTTTCCCAAGCAGCATGCCAAACATTACAATAATAAGGATGGCTTTTCAGAGTGAAAAAACAGAAATATTCAAGCACTAATGGATCCCTGTATAAATGATATCGCCAAAACAAAACAAAACTATTTGGAACAAAGGATTATTGATTTTTGATCATTCGAATCTTTATGATTAAACAAATTTCAAAGTTACAGTATTGAACCTCAAAACTCGAAAAATGAGAGGCAGATATGTTAAACTGCTCCATTTTATTAGGGCTATACCAGCCGAACATATAATCTTTTGTGAACAAAATAAAAATATGAACATAAAACTGAAAGAGCAGCACTTACCTTAGGCTAGAACTGAACTAAATATTATGGTTACTTGAAATTTAAACCAATTTATGAAACTTGTAAAATGATAACAACATATACTTGGTAGATGTTAATTGCTTTAACTGATGAAATAATTGAATCACATTAACATTAGTCTAATATACTGAATTAACCGATAATTCACCAAAATGTTAGAATTCATTTAATACTGAAATAATTAGACTGTTTAAGACAATAATAAATACATACGCTTTTATCATTCGTTTTATTCCTTCTTTTCTTTCTCTATCAGCAAACTTATCAACAAGGTAACCTGCCATTCTTGGAGAATTTTGATAGAGTGAGAAAAATCTTTTATAATTTGCAGATGTCCACGCTTCTCTCATTTGTAAAGCATATTGCACGCAATCATCCTCTCGTAATTTCGGAGTTATAGCTACCATTACAGAAGTGAGGTCTGAAAACATAACTAAAGTTAGTAAAATATCTCATTCAAATTTTCAGCCAGTCCTATGTCAAAGGTCAGTTTGACCCGCATGAAAATGTCAAATGCTATCTATTTTATGACTCAGCCTGTTGAAAAATAACTCTCTGATGTACCATAAATGAAGTGAATATTTGTACGCTAAAATAAGTTCTCCAAAAGTAAAAAATATTTCAGCAGGGGGTTGTTGCATTAGCAAATTGATCAAAAATAGTGGTCATGTTCATGTACACAGTCAAGAAATTGCTGCAAATATGAACCTATAGTACAACAAATCTTTGATACTTTAATAATACACAAGGTAACATAATATACCAGGCAATTGAAATTAAATTACCCAATACTCAAATTTGATAAATTCTCACCTGTTGTATTTTTTGTGTAGATATAATACAAAATACTGTATGCAAAAAACTCTGGTATGTTATCAGATTTCACACCTTCTGAATATAACTGACGAAGTTGGCTTTGGCACTGGTTAAATTCCTCGTGATCACCCTAAAAATTACAATACAACATAAAATTAGTACTTGGCAATTTAGGAAAATACCAGAGTTCACATTCAAATATTTTTGCCCTGCAGTACTCACACCATGAAACCGAAGGCACATCAAATATGCTGACAATAGCTCTGTCAGTTTATGTGCTGACTGAAAGTCAGAAAAAACCTACTAAAAGTTTTCAAGTATCCTGATAATTATTTTTTTTTTTTACCGCCCCAATCGTCACGCGGGTAAACAAGGATCGCGTGCCCTCCTGAGAAACCAGGGGAGATGACATAAAAAGTCAACTACTGGTTCTCACAAGTTGTTAAGATGCAAAAGGACAAGCTGACAATTAATCATCAAATTTGCTTCAAATTCACCATACATGTACGGCCATTAACTTTACAACTCGTTGCTAATAAAAATTGACTTCTATGGAAATGGAATACCTTTTCGAGGGCGATTCGCGCATGTGTTTCATATACTTTTACTGTAAATGTGTCCCGAATGCCTTGAACCTATTAAAACAATACACAAGGAGATTAGAAAAAAAGGTGCGTTCTTACTATGCTTTAATTACGACAGATTAATAAAAAATATTCATAAATTAACATAAACACATACCGTAAGGTCCTGTCTTATACTTTTCATCTGTTCACACGTATATCTATAATCTTGTTTTTCCATCCAATCTTCTTTCACTTTTTCTAATGAAACCTTCAAAATCACCATCGGTCTCACCTAAAATGTGGAAATATTGCTTGTTTGAATTGTTTCACCACAGTATTAAATAAAATATGAAACATAATTCTTCACCATATATGTTCATTCTTGATTTAAGGATAAAAAGATACAACAAAAAGAAATGCATTTCAAAACATGACAACAACTTACAGTGGATGGGTCGGGTGCTGACGTCAGCCTCAAATATTGCTTGAATATATCTTGGCATGTACCAACAACTTGCATACTTTCCCAATCCATCTCCTCTCTAAAAAGTGATAAAATCGGATTGATATTAAAAGTAAAATAGACACTTAAAAACAAAAAAGCATTAATAATCGAGTGGGCTGGAATGATGGGAAGGATGAGAAGTTTTTTATTTTCTGACGACACTGGAAATGGAGCAACGATGAAGATTCAAAGGTGAAAATATTGGTGCGCTCAATGCGTTCCACAGGGGTCAGTTCTCATCCCTTTACACTTTCTTTACTGACAACAAATTCCGGCATTTTACGCACATTACTGTCATGTATAGTCAAGACAAATAAATTAATAGTGAAATGTCTCTCTCACCCGTCGTTGTTAGCATTATAATTGTTGATGGTAAAAGTCAATTTTTCACTGGTGGAAGAGATTTGAGATTGAAATCTGTTGGCTCGTTTTGCCATCTTGAACGCTTTGTTAGGATCATCCAGTCGGAAAGGTGTATTCTTGTTCTAGAAAAAAAAAAAATGTTTATTCGTTTCAGAAAATTAAAACAGATAAGAAATAAGAAGCATTGAAAACACAAATATTCAATAGATTATACCTTCTTCCCCTTCTTTTTATTTGGAGTCTGTGCTGGCGTCTTCGGTGTCGATGCGGACTTTTCAAGATCCAATTTTAGTTTTGGCCCCAGACGGCTCTTTGCGGTTCCTTTTCGTTTGTCTTTTCTTCCAGAGAGCGGCCCTCTGCCTGCTCTCGTGAAAACTGTGTCATCTTCGCTAGATGATCTTTCCATACTAAATAAAAGTTCAAAAACAGGTAAAAGATAAATCATTGAGAATAATATTAAACATGATGTATTCTATAAATTATGTGAGAAATAATAAAAGCAAATAGTAGAAGTTTGCATCACAATGTTCATTACATATCCTATTCAATATTTTGTCAACTGCGAGAAAAAAAACTATGTAATTGAACATAAATTATGTAAACTTGCAACATAAAACTTAGAGAATGCAAATGTAATCTTTTTTCACCTTCGCCTGTATCTTCTTCTTTTCGGTGAGTTCGATCTTGACCTTGAACGAGATTTTGAACTGCTAGTTGACCTTGAATATCTTGTTATTCGTGATGATCTAGATATGTTCAAATCATTATTGATCATATTTAATGGAGCATAACAAAAACAAATCTAATCATTACAAAACATACCACATTGACAACCATTCGCAATAACAAGAATATGTAAACAGTATTATGGTTTCAGATTAGCAAAGGATTACGGGTCAATATTCAAAAAAGCAATATGAAAGGCTGCTACAATTGCTTTATTGGATACTGTTTATTGAAAGCGATTACCTTTTATATGATTCATGAATATGACACAGAAAACAAATATTCATTTGAAAGATTAATCATAACTGGCTAGGCAAATATGAAGCCAAAAATAAAAGTACAGTATTAGCCAGTAACTGCATGCTATTGATAACATTTTGTCACATAAAAGACTATACCAAATGAAATAGAACAATTATACATATTATTTTAGTAAAGGTTACAAACCTCGAAATTTTCCTTCTATCTGTATTTCTACTTTGTTTCGGAGAGCTATCATGTCTCTGTGATAGTTTATTTCGTAATTCCATTTTTAACTCTGGTTTCGGTTTTATCAGATCACTGAGTAGGAAAAAATGAAAGCTATGAGATATTATCAGGGGAAATCAATTTTGCAGTCTGATAAGAAATTGCCAGGCTGATTAAACAAATTGTTAATATGTAATCTTGAAGAAGACTAGATTACTGAGTTACATTAGCTAGAGTATGGCAGCAAGAATCTCAAAACAGTTGTAAACTTAATCACAGTCATAGTCTGAGCTTAAAAATATAAGTAGGCTATTGATACTCATCAGTCTACACATATCGGTAATTAGGGATCATTTATCTCAATTTCATGATTTCAATAAATTTTCTTGATACATATAAGTAAGCCTAAATAAAATTACAATATGACATTATTGAAATTTTCTATCCTGGGTTAATCTGGATGACAAGATTTCTGTAACTAAGATCTCATCCTACTACAAAACAACAACAAAAACTTCATTTTAATCTTACATAGGCAGAGGTTCAACATTCCAATCAATTTGATGGGCCACCCCACTCTTCATTCTTTCATTTAAAAGACTTTTCAAATATGCTTCTGTTCTATCTTTATCACTTTCAGAGGTGCACGCTTGAAATGAACGTTGAATATATTCCCTGCAAGAATACATATTTGTCAGTGAACTGTTTCTTATTAACATTCAGATAAAAGCTCTGTAATTGTAACCAATGAAGCAATTGTGAAGTGCCAAGATAAAAGTGATAACAATCTAACACCTTCTAGGTGCGAAGAAGATTGCACTTAACAATGAGATAAAAGATAAGATTTCGTAAAATGACATAATATTATAATTATGGTGTAGGAAGTTAGACAGGAACAAACTTGAGCAAGTTTGAATTTTACTTAGCAGAAATAATCAAGTATTTGGGAAATTTAACGACAAGTTATGCCACAAAGTACATAAAGGAAACTCATTCAACCATACTGAACAAAAGGGGCATGTGACCATGAAAGTTGATAGGCTTGAAAACGTTAACACATAATAATTGATACCTATTACGACATATAACAAATAGAAACTACTAACATTAATTCTGGAGACCAAGACTTATTCCCCATTTGAAAAGAATTCGCACCATCAGGTTGTTTCGTTTCATTTTTGGATTCATGATTTTTCGTCTGATGATCATCTATCTTGGGTGGACTACGAGATGATTTCCCTTCACTCATCCTCTCTTCACTTGGGTTTGATTTTTCTGACTCTGATTTTGTTGATCCAAGATTAAATCGAATAGGTCCTTATTAAAAAAAACATAATAAATCATATTCTAAAGTTGTAATACATGAAACACACATAACCAATTACATAACGCTATTAATAATGACCTACCTGAACCTTTGTCATGCCTAAATCGATAGGAATTATTGGGCAATCTTGGTTTAGGGAAAGATGGTTTCCCTTCAGAACCTGGTGGCGGTGGAGGAGGGCCCTGAGATGAATCAGGAGGCAGAGGCGGTTCATTGTCGTCATTTCTATGATCTCTACTAGAGACATTTTTGTTTGGACTATCATCAATCCTCCGGCCATTTGGTGATGATCCAAATCCCGTATATAAATTTCCATAAGGGTTTGATGGCATCTAAATAAATAATTTTGTTATAGTCAACATTCAAAACAATTTGTAACACCAATCATTTCATTTGAAATACCGCATACTTACTCGAGACATATTATTCATTCCCATACGAAATCTATTTCCTTGCATTGGAGATCCTCTACGCATTCCTGGACCCATCGATCCAAATTGGTTCATGTATCCCATAGGTGGGTAGGGTCCTCTTTGCATTGGACTATACCCTCCCATGGCTCCATATCCAAATGGCGAACCCCATGAACCTGAAGGATGATATCCCATATTCCTCATGTTGTTGTTACCTTGAAAAAACTTATCTGGTCCATTCCTAGGTGTTCCTTGGCCATACTGAAAAAACAAAATGATTCGATTATTAGTTTACTGCATTCTAAAGAAAATACAATAATATTGAACTGGAAAACCAGATTCAAGTATTGTATTCCTCAATTCATAACTTACCTTACTGTTATTGCTACCACTCTTGTCTTGATTGAGGTTTTCGAGTGCTTTCCTTGCTTTTTCCCATTCTGGATTCTCATTTTGAGCTTCAATTTCATTCATGTTGGATACTGACTACTAACAACCTTGCTCGACTTATACTTACAATCTCAACTTTACTACTGATTTTTTAGTGATAGCGATTCTCTTGCAGATAATGAGCAGTTACGGACAAAAACTAATTGTGGTTTGCTATCGAATACTATACTGTAGTTAATAAACGTATCAATATCTGTAAAATATAACACAATGATTGAGAAACTCCAACATGACTCGGTACATAATAGTTCCAATCATAATGCAATATTCAGTTGAAGTAATTTTTTTGCTTTCATTCAGCATTTTTACTAAAACTGGGACAAAACGCCAATCCTCCAGCCCGAAGTCACTTTTTTGTCAAGAAAAAAGTTAGTTTAGTTAGTTTTGAGTATTACCATGGTTCAAGTTGAATATTCTGACATTTGCCACTTGATTAAACTAATTAATGTCCGCAAGTTAAGAGCTTACAAAGAATTTTAACAAAAATTTCAAAAGCATGAATCTGATCAGCTCAATAACACAAGTTATGTCATGATATCTTATTATATTGATTAGGGCAGATCGTTTCAATTTGAATAAAGATAAGTTGAAAGATAATTGAAGACACTACAACACAATGCCAGAACTAATAGTAAATAGCAAAACTGCATTGGTTCTGTTAAAGAACCTGGCATCAGAATTGGCCAAAATAAAACAGAAAAAAAGGTTTTGATTAACAATGGGTTAAATGCTGATATGCAAAATATTCTTTAAATGGAAAATTATTCGATAACAGCAATTTCATTTATCATTGGAATGTGAGCCATCAGTGCAAAATGAAATTAGTAGATACCGTATCTTTCAAATGTTTACTATTTTCAAATATAATAATATAAAACAGCGGTTCCCAAACTATGGGTCGCGACCCACTGGTCGCAAGAGGAACCTCAGTGGGTCGTGAAAAGATGTAGAAAGCTTTGATCAATTATACTGGTTATCAGGATCGGTGGCAAAGCAAATTTAAAAGCAAATTTTGAAATAAACTGCAACTTTTCAATTTTTCATGTCTAAAACTATCTGGAATTGAAAAAAATGTCAAATCTTTAATGGAAAATAGCAAGAAACAATCTCATCTTTCTCACTAGCTTCACTGAAAATTCAATTTGAGAAAATAAATTTGTTTCCTCCATCAATGTTTTATTAATTTATTAAAGTTAAATGGGTCGCCATAAGCTGTGGTAAAAAATAGTGGGTCCCAACTCTAAAGAGTTAGGGAACCACTGATATAAAAGATTAATTAAAAGGTATAAAATATTTGTTTGCCAGTGACTACACCGAAAAAAGCTGCAATTTGAATTTTACTGTAATGAATTACAAAAATATTAACATATTTTTACATACCATATTTTTATAAGCAAGTAAACATATATGAAAATACGAAAATATTTAAAGTACCTGTGTATATAAATATTAATTATTAGCATTTGCGGTATATATAATATTATCAGGAATATTGACAAAATGGACATTTTTGTACATAGTTGTAAAATGCTCAGTTGAACTAACATATTTTTGAACAGTTTTGATTAAAATCATAAATATATTATCACACCATTCTATATACCTAATTCAAATTACGGTATTTAAAAAAAAATGACAGTATGGTCCAAAGTACACCGGTCGCTTGTCAGTGTCATGTCAGTTGAATAAGTCAATATTGATCAAGTCTTTGACCTACATAGCGCTAGAATTCGTGTATAACATTTTTTTAAATTATCCCTCAAATTACTGTTAGACTTACCAAACTTGTCTTGATTTCAAAAGCTTTATAGTCAAAGTCAGAATATTCATTATGTGATCCAATGTAGAATCCATATTGCAGAGATTGCTTAAAAATGCTGAGTTAAGCTAACATATTTTTGAACAATTTTGATTTAAATCATAAATATATTATGGAACCATTCATATGATTCAAATTATTTATTAAAAATAATGACAATATGGTCCAAAGTACACAGTCGCTTCGTCAGTGTCATGTGAGTCAATATTAACCAAGTCTATGACCTACACCGCCGCTGTCTGTGTCATGTGAGTCAATATTGATCAAGTCTTTGACCTACATAAATTTGTTTTTAATATTTTTCAAAAATATCCATCAGCTTACTGTTGTCTTGATTTCAAAAACATCATTGTCGAATTCAGAAATTTCATTCTGTGATCCAACGTAGAATCCATATTGCACTCATAATACACTTTCTCATGAGACAATGTTTAGAAAAACTCAAATTTCTCTTTTAAATCTTTTTCATCAAATAATATCCATGTCATAAATATTAAACTACTGCATTTAGATCTAAAATCTGTATAAATGTAATAATTGTTTATAAGTATTTCAACACTGGAAAGTTGCAACAGGCGAATGAAAGCAAACAAAAAAAATTATTTTACAAGGCAGGGCCAGGAACATATCTCTGGTTGACACTGTCATGATTGGAAGAAAAACTACTCGTAGGCAAAGAGAATACAGTTCAATATACCCAAGAGTAGGATTAGGTTGAAGCACATCATTCCTAATAAAAATACATATGATTGCATGTGACAGAGGTTGCAATTATTATTAATAACGCAATTCAGTGGCTCAAAATTTAAATTATTATAAATAAAAATTGATGTTAGCGGAGAGAACCTTAGGTCCTTAATAGATTTAATAATTTTAGTTGATAACAGCTACAAAAACTCAAAATATGTCAATAGGCACAAAGATTTCTCAAAAGTATACAAATTGCATGATACAGAAAAGGCTTGTGAAACCCAAAGCCTATAAACATAGCTAATAGGTAAATACAAAGAAATAGTTATAATAGGATAATCTCATAAGTGTACATAAATGCATGATATTAATTTGTAAAAGTAACAATTAAAACCTGATTAGGACGAAAATTTTATCAAATCATTTAAAAGACACTCCATTGTAAAATTTCATTTTATTTTTTGGGTGTGTAACGTGCAATTATATATACATATATTATACAAATTGTTAACATAAAGTGGTGTTAATTGCACAAATACACTCTAATATATAATTTAATTTGATATATTATACAAATTGTTAACATAAAGTAGTGTTAATTGCACAAATACACTTTAATATACAATTTAATTTCTTTTCCTGATGTTTTTTTTCAAATTTGCATATAAGAAAACATGCAGATTTAAAATTTCAATACAAGTTGTAATATAAATTGGCAAAAAATGAATCATTGTAGAAACAAAGGCTTCTTTACAAAACTTAAGCTACTAGACTATACGGCAGAGGTGGGCAACATAAGGCTCGTGGGCCGCGACCAGATTTTTATCAAAGATTGGAAGTATTTTTTGTAATAATCCGGTTCATTTTCGTACATCTGGCCCGCTGACTAGGGAAGTTGCTCACCCCTGCTATACAGCATGCACATCATCAAGACAATTCCTTGCGTAACATTTCCTTATCTTGGTACTTGCATTATAGAAAGTTATATGGTCATAATATGACATAAGGTACCCGTAATATGCAAGGAAATACATTTTTGCTAAGAAAAACAATTGTGTCTTTTTATCAAGTCAGCTGCAGGTCTTCAAGTACCGTATTTATAACTTTTCGTTTTCTATATTACAATTCAAACAAAATTACATTGAATGGTTTTGTCGGGGAATAGCTTTAAGAGTGATTTTGTCTTTAGGATGAACAGTGAGATCGAATTTCAACCTTAACGGGGGTTTTGGAGTTTCGCTCGTGGGGATGAATTTATATTGATGAAGTAATTTACAGATTGCTATCTTCATTTCCATGAGTGCAAATCTCTTTCCGATGCAATTTCTTGGTCCACTACCAAATGGTTGATAAACCATGGGATTCATTCCATCCATGTATTTCATTCTCTCCGGCTTGAATTCCATCGGATCGTCCCAGTATTCAGGATCATGGCATAATGCATGAATGGGCATTACCATAAGCATTCCGGCTGGTATAGTCAATCCATGGATGTTTATTTCTTTTTTAGCCACCCTGGTTGTCTTAGCAATTGGAGGATACAAACGAATGCTTTCATTTATACATAACTCAAGAAAATTTAATTCATTAACACTATCATAATCTAAATTTCCATATTTTTTACGAAACACTTCATCAATTTCCAAGTGGAGTTTCTCCTGTACTTCTTGATATTGAGCCAAATTATATATTAAATTTGCCATTGCAATGCTTGTAGTATCATATCCTGCTAAAAGCATTGTCACAGAATTTGCGATAACTTCAATTTCTGACATTCCTTTTCTGACGCCTTTTTTAATCACTGTATCAGACACTTTATAGTCTAACATAATCTGCATCAAATCCACACGGTTATTGCCATGTTGATGATCGTCTCTCTGATTTATGATTTTATTGCATAGTTGCTTGAAGTAAACCATAAAGGATTTTTTCGCCAATACCTTTCCTATGAAGGTTTCGAGAAACGGAAATAAAATCCCAATGAGAAAATATATGTTAAAAAATCCCGCTTTAAATAATTCTTTAGCCTGAATAGAAATCTGGGGTTCTTTTTTGGAGGTATCCTGAGAATTGATGTCAGTACTAAAAGCAGATGCGCAAATAACATCAAGAGATAATCTTCCAAAAACATCTTTCACATTGAAAATGCCATTTTCATTTTTACACTTTTTCTCTAATACGTCTATAGTATTGCTGACGCATCTCTCGACTATTCCTTTCATCAATTTCAGTTTTAAACTTGAAAATGCTGGAGTCATTGTTGTTCTGACACGTTTCCATTGTTCATCTTCAATGAACAATAAACCATTTGACATTGTTTCTTCAAATGGGTTAAGCTTTTCAACTCTGTTAGTGAAATTTGAAAAATCCTTCACAAATATTTGCTGCAAAATGTTTAAATCATGAACGGCAATTCTGGGTTTGGTCATAATATAATACCCATAAATTCGACCAAACTTTTCCTTGCATTCAAGATCAAACGTAAATGGCTTTTCTGACCATACTGCCCGTGCACTCCCAAAATTTCTGATAGATGGAGGAATATGCGGAACGTTCAAGTTCTTTAACAAACTCCATTTCCGATGCAAATAATATTTGATCAAAACAATGATGAGGACGAGAAGGCACCATGTGAAAGAAGAAAGTAGATCTGAAGGCCAGATCATCTTTATCCGACTGAAAAATTTTAATAACAGTCCCTTATATTGCTCAAGTCAGCAAGTATATCCATATTTCGATCTCTGTTCTAGCATTTGTACTGAGTAATACGCCTATAGTTTAACACAAATCTGGATAATAAAAAATATTGGAAAAGACTATATATGTGCATAGGTAGCCTATTTGGCCAGAATAAAACAGAAAGAAGGTTGGGTTAATATACGGGTTAAATGCTGATTTGCAAAATATTCTACCAAAATGCTGAGAAAACAATCAACTTTATTTCGAAATGTATTTGATAATGGCATTTTCATTGTTCATCAGAATGTAAACCATCATGCAAAATGGAATTTTGGGCTTCTAGTTCCAAGTTTTAGTTTTATAGGCTTTCAAATATTTAGTACTTTTGAAATTACTTATACAAAAGATTGATTACAAAGTAAAAATAGTCGTTTGCCAATAAACGAAACAAACAATAAATTAGCAATATGAATTCCACCATTATAGTACAAATTTAAATGTAACATATCATGCTACATTTTAAAAGTAGAAAAACATATTTCCCAATTATATATGATATAATCATATTAGGAATAGGTATTGAGAAAATGTACCTTTTGGTATCTGGTTGTAAAATGCTCAGTTAAGCTAACATAATTTTGAACAATTTTGATTTAAATCGTAAATATATTATTGAACCATTCATACGATTCAAATTATTTAAAAAATGGCAGTATGGTCCAAAGTACAAAATCGCTTGTCAGTGTCATGTGAGTCAAATTAGTCAATAGGCTATTGATCAAGTCTTTGACCTACATAAAATTTCCTTAAAATTTGTTTGTAACATTTTGTAAAAATATCCCTTAACTTACTATTATACCTACAAATTCAGAAATTTCATTCTTCATTCCAATGTAGAATCCATATTGCAGAGTACACTTATAATACACTTCCTCATGAGCATAGGCTTATAGAAACTCGAATTTATCTTTTATATGTGTTATATCAAATATTATCCATGTCATAAACATTAAAATATTGCATTAAGATCTGTATAAATGCAATAATTGTGTATAAGTATTTCAACCATGAATAAGTTGCAACAGGGTTATGAAAGCAAACAAAAAAATTATAATAAAAGGCAAGAACTTTTCTGGGTACTCCCGAAGTATGTAAACCAAGATGGCGGACACCGGAATGTAGTATGTGTACCAGGTTAGGGTTAGGTTAGAATTTTTTTCCAATTTTCCTTATTTACAAGTTACAATTACAAGTTCGAGTTCTAGTCAAGTGACTCTCATAGATTTGTACCTGAAATTATAGCCAAACCCTATCCAGGAACACATTTTACGTTCTGTATGTGGCATAGACATGATTGAAAGAAAAACTTAACTCAACTGATAACGGTAGGTACAAAGATACAGTTCAATATACCAATAGTAGGATTTTGTCGAAGCACACCATTCCTAATAAAAAGATATATGATTGCATATGGTTGAGGGTTGCAGGTATTATCAGTAACACAATTCAGTGGCTCAAAATTCAAATATTTGTAAATAAAAATTGACGGTATTGGAGAAGAGAACCATATGTCCGTTTTAGATATAATAATTTTAGTTGATAACAAAGGCACAAAGATTTTCTAAAAGTATACAAATTGCATGATACAGAAAAGGCTCGTGAAACCCTAACCCTATAAACATAGCTAATAGGTAAATACAAAGAAATAGTTATAATAGGATAATCTCATAAGCGAACAAAAATTCATGATATTAATTTGTAAAAGTAACAATTAAAACCTGATTAGGATGAAAATTTTATCAAATCATTTAAAAAACACTTAATTGTAAAATGTTAATTAGTGTGTAAGGTGTAAATATTAATATATATACATATATAAATTGTTAACGAAAAGTGGTGAGTATTGCATGAAAGAACTTTAATATACAATTTAATTCCTTCTGTGTTTTGTTAAGAAATGCATATGAGAAAACATGCAGATTTAAAATTTCAATAAAAAATGAATCATTGTAGAAACAAAGGCTTCTTTATAAAACTTTAGCTATTCGGCTATACAGCATGCACATCATCAAACAATTTTCTTGAGTCACATTTCCTTATCTTGGTACTTATATTATAGAAAGTTATATGGTCATAATATGACATACGTGTAATATGCAACGAAATACATTTTCGCTGAGAAATACAATTGTGTCTTTTTATCGAGTCAGTCGCAGGTATTAAAGTATTTATAACTTTTTGTTTTCTATATTAAAATTCAAACAAAATTACATTATATGGTTTTGTCGAAGAATAGCTTTAAGAGTGATTTCATCTTTAGGATGAACTGTGAGATCAAATTTCAACTTCAATGGAGGTTTTGGAGTTTCACTTGTGGGGACAAATTTATATTGATGAAGTAATTTACAGATTGCTATTTTCATTTCCATGAGTGCAAATCTCTTTCCAATGCAATTTCTTGGTCCGCTACCAAATGGTTGATAAACCATGGGATTCATTCCATCCATGTTTTTCATTCTTTCCGGCTTGAATTCCATTGGATCGTCCCAGTATTCAGGATCATGGCATAATGCATGAATGGGCATTACCATAAGCATTCCAGCTGGTATAGTCAATCCATGGATGTTTATTTCTTTTTTAGCCACCCTGGTTGTCTTAGCAATTGGAGGATACAAACGAATGCTTTCATTTATACACAAATCAAGGAAATTTAAGTCATTAACACTATCATAATCTAAATTTCCATCTTTTTTACGAAACACTTCATCAATTTCCAAGTGGAGTTTCTCCTGTACTTCTTGATATTGAGCCAAATTATATATTAAATTCGCCATTGCAATGCTTGTAGTATCATATCCTGCTAAAAGCATTGTCACAGAATTTTCGATAACTTCAATTTCTGACATTCCTTTTCTGGCGCCTTCTTTAATCACTGTATCAGACACTTTATAGTCTAACATAATCTGCATCAAATCCACACGGTTATTGTCATGTTGATGATCGTCTCTCTGATTCATGATTTTATTGCATAGTTGCTTGAAGTAAACCATAAAGGGTTTTTTCGCCAATATCTTTCCTATGAAGGGGATAAGAAACGGAAACAAAATCCCAATAAGAAAATATATGTTAAAAAATCCCGCCTTAAATATTTCTTTAGCCTGAATAGAAATCTGGGGTTCTTTTTTGGAGGTATCCTGAGAATTGATGTCAGTACTAAAAGCAGATGCGCAAATAACATCAAGAGATAATCTTCCAAAAACATCTTTCACATTGAAAATGCCATTTTCATTTTTACACTTTTTCTCTAACACCTCTATAGTATTGCTGACACATCTCTCAACAATTCCTGTCATCAATTTTAGTTTTAAACTTGAAAATGCTGGAGTCATTGTTGTTCTGACACGTTTCCAATGTTCATCTTCAATAAACAATAAACCATTTGCCACTGATTCTTCAACCGGGTTAAGATTTTCTGCTCTATTAGTGAAATTTGAAAAATCCTTCACAAATATTTGCTGCAGAATGTTTAAATCATGAACGGCAATTCTGGGTTTGGTCATAATATAAAACCCATAAATTGGACCAAACTTTTCTTTGCATTCAAGATCAAACATGAATGGCTTTTCTGACCATACTGCCCGTGCATTCCCAAAATTTCTGATAGATGGAGGAATATGCGGAACGTTCAAGTTCTTTAACAAACTCCATTTCCGATGCAAATAATATTTGATCAAAACAATGATGAGGACGAGGAGGCACCATGTGGAAGAAGACAGTAGATCTGAAGGCCAGATCATCTTTATCCAACGGAAAAATTCTTTTATATTGCTCAAATCAGCAAGTATATCCTTATTTCAATCTCTGTTTTAGCATTTGTACAGAGAAAGTTCAACATGAATCTGAATAATGAAAAATATTGAATATAGATAAGTCCTTATTATCAATAATACGGTATATAACTGGTTTTCATATATGACTTGGCTATGGTATGGAAGGACGCATAAATTTATATTATGAATGATTCATAATATTAACACAGAAATAATCCCTTATAGATATATCCTAATTTACAATAAATATTCGTTGCTATCCATATGATGGTTTTTACCAGTTTCACACAACATTTTACAATGGCAAGAATGGAAATATTTATAATATCCCAAGAATGGCAAACACAGCAACAGCAAGGCAAAATTCCATCATATGACCTATACAAAATGCGAGTCATATATCTGAAGTCACCATATGAAGTCACCAATACCATTGCATAGAAACTTTTTTAAGTCCTACCTAAAATATCACACTCTCGTCAAAACCATCTTACCTGCTGGTTCTTCAACTGGTTGTTTCTACAACTTCCATCCCATATTCAAATTATTTTCTTTTCTTCAGAACAAATATAGATAGATCAGAAACAATGCTGATGAAAAATGTATCAATATTTCATGGGACAATTTAAAATATGTTCAATCTATCAAAATCTATCTAAATTAAAAATAGCAATGAATTAGCGATGATAAAACGTCGGACACTACTAGCAAACTATATGAATTGAATTGAAGTAAAAGGAATGCAACATACTGCTGATAACATCAATTGAAAAAATAAAATAATACACTGCAATATACCCAAACAGTAGGATTTGGTTGATAGACAGACTAATAATAATACAATTTAGTTGCTCAAAATACAATGTTTAACAGTGATTGTAGAAGAGAGAGAACAATAGGATAGGAACTTAATAGATATAACAATTTAGTTAGCACTAACAATTAATCAAAATATCTTGAAAGACGCAACACAAATTGCATGATACAGATAAGGGTTGTGAAACAATAAGCCTATAAAAACTGCTTTTATTAAACCGTTTACAAGACAATTGTAAATTTTGATGTCATGAGCATGTAAGGTGTGATTAAATGACAATTTGTTGAGTAACACTGGGTCTGCGGTTCTTTTTTGGAAGTATTCTAGAATGAATGTCTGTATTACAGTAGATGCGCAAATAACAATCTTCAAAAATCATCTTTTCATCAAATTTTCATATTTCCATTTTTTCCATAATACGTTTATCATCATCAACCTCAACTGAAAATGCTGAAGTCATAGTTGTTCTGACACTTCCCAATGTTCGTCTTCAACATAAATTACCCATTTGCCAGTGACTCTTGAAAAGGGTTAAGCTTTTCTACTACTGAAATTGTGATGTTGATATCAATAATAATTGAAGAATAGCGTACTGCATAATTAGGGAAATGTAATTATTGAAATAAAAAATCATTTATCCATTCAACTTTCTCTAGGCACAACTCGAAGATTGAAATTTACTTCTGAGCGACTAGTGTTACCATTTATTTCCAGATTCAATGGGGGTTTGGGAGTATCCAATGTCGGCTCGAATGTGAACTCATGTAGAAGTTTACAGAATGCAATTTTCACTTCCATTAATGCGAACCGCATACCAATACAATTCCTTGGTCCACTTCCAAATGGCTGAAACAGCATTGGATGCATTTCACTTATATTTTCCATTCTTTCTGGTTGAAATTCCATGGGATCATTCCAATGCTCTGGATCATGACAAAGAGCATAAATTGGAACTACAACTACCATACCATAGGGAATGGTAAAGCCGCTGAGAGTTATCTCCTTATTGCTTGTACGGTAAGTTCTGGGAATAGGTGTGTAGAGACGAATACTTTCATTTATGCACATGTCAAGATATGAAGAGAATTAACAGCATCATAATCAAGTACCCCTTTGGTTCTGTACATTTCATCAATTTCAGCTTGAAGCTTGCGTTGAACTTCAGGATATTGAGCCAAATTATAAGCAAGAAATGACATGGTGGTACTGGTGGTTTCATATCCAGCTAGAATCATAATAATCGAATTTCCGGTGATCTCTATTTCTGACAATCCTTTTTTCAAATCCTTATTTATATCAGAAGTCTTGACTTTGGAATCCAACATAAGCCGTAGTAAATCCACCCGGTTTGAAACAGAATCATCATCATTTCTCTGCTGTATTATTTTTTTACAAACATTACTTAAAAACTGAATCCCAGGTTTCCTTCTGCTGTATTCATAAAGTTTAGGACCAATCCATGGAAACAAAATGCTCAGGTAAAGAGTAGGGTCATTACCCATTTTAGTAATATTTCTTGCATTGACAGAGATTTGAGGCTCCTGTTTAGATTCATCTTGTGAATTAACATCAGTACTAAAAGCGGATGAGCATATGACATCGAGTGACAATTTTGCAAAAACATCTTTGGCTGAAAAACTCCATTTGTTTGTTCGATCTTTTTCTGGAGACTTGAAACAGTGTTTTTGACACACCAGTCCATAATATTGAGCATTTGTTTCAACTTAGAAGTAGAAAATGTTGGAGTTATTGTTTTGCGCATACGTTTCCATTGGCCATCTTTTGATTCTATCAGAGCATTTTGCATTTCTTTCCCGTTTATTCCTGCAGCATTTGGCGATCTGTTTGGAAAACTCGAAAATTCTTTGATGAATATTTGCTGAAGTATTTCCAAATCATGACAAACTATTCTGGGTCTCAGTAATGCATAGAAACCCCAAATCAAACCATATTTTTCCTTGTGGTCCAAGTCATAAGTAAACACCTCATTCGACATCGCTTGTCTCAAATTACCAAGGTTGAGCATGGAAGGTGGATCATAAGGTATTTGCAGCCGGCTCAAAACACTCCATTCACGATGAATATAATATCTTGCCAGCAGCAACAAAAAGCCAACGAGTATCCATGTCTCAAATGACAAATATTCCAAAAAATAAGTCATAATTCCTGACAAAATACAGACAGCAAATACTGAATGTGAACTGATAAAAAAAAAGATGACAGTTTATTTGCATATGATATAGAACTGTACAAAATCATAAGACATATTGAATACTGACAAGTTGGAGCAAGTGAAAAAAGACAAGTTCAAATACACAAATAAATAATACAATGAACTTCAAGTGTATTGTGTGACCAACTTGAGAGTATTTCATGACAATATATTACCAGTAACAGAAATCTAGTTTCATTTCAAGTACTACTCTAACTACATGCAATAACTTAGAAGGCCTACTGTAAAAATATGCATATGCATGAGTTTTAATAAATGCCCCAACAATTTAGCTTCTGTACTATTTTAGAACTCACGACGAGTCACAAGCCATTCCTTATTTTTGACTGAATTTTACTACTATTAAACTAAACTTAATATAAATAATATAGAAATGTTCAGAAATATGGGCACGAAGGTGAAATAAATAATAAAAGACTTGAAATAAGTGAATAGTCGGTCATAGACAACAACTGAGGCAATTTACTTCAGTACCAGTGAAAGCTTAGCTGAGAATTAGTATAGAACTTTATTAATTAAAGTACTACAAAGTTAGAATTGATTGGTCTATTATTGGTGGAGAAAAGAGAGAAGAATACCCCACAAGGCAACAAACCCCAACAAGAACAATAATAATTTTGCAAAATGATACATAGATCCTGAAACAATTCTAATGATACACTAATGCTGAAAATATATCAAACTATGATTCTGGTATAAAAATAAAAAGTAATGCAATATTTACAGCAAATGAAATAATAATAAATAACATTTATGAAACTGATAATCTTGTGGCAGTAATCTAAAAATATGATTCTACTAATAAAAATCTACATGGTTATGAAAAGGTATATCTTTATATAATATTATAAATCAAGTACTGATACATATCAATACAGATAGATGATGTAGGGGAGTAATTATACAAATTTATTCAGCTAGCGCCACAGTCAATGACTTTGGAAGAGGGTTCATACCAATATATATAATTTTGATATAGTAGAAAAATACCATTTGAATTATTAAATATTCCCCTGAGTTTAAAATACTGGTATATCAAGTACCATTGAATCTGAAATATTTAAACCCGAGTTATGCCTTTAAAAAATATACCGTATGTGTTAATTGATATGAAGTGGAGATGTAATATATTTAGAAATTTAATTGTGTATATATAATATAATACTTGTTCGAGATGTATTCCATATATAAGAAAAGTTCAAGAAATTTGAAGTGAACTCCAATAAAACTATCTATCTACCTGATTCATCCTTGGTACAATTTGAAGATTAAAGTTTACCTTTGGCCGAATGGTAGACGCATTAACTATTATTTGCAGTGGAGGTACAGGGGTATCTAAAGTTGGCTTAAAACTAAATTCATGCAGGAGTTTACAGAATGCAACTTTTACCTCCATTAATGCGAACCGCATACCAATACAATTTCTTGGTCCACTTCCAAATGGCTGAAATACCATAGGATGCATTTCATTTACATTTCTCATTCTTTCTGGTTGAAATTCCATGGGTTCGTTCCAATACTCAGGATCGTGGCAAAGTGAAGCAATTGGTATTACAATCAACATGTCTTTAGGTATTGTTAAACCACTAAGAGTAATGTCTTTATTACTCTTACGAACTGTTCTGGGAACTGGTGTGTAGAGGCGTATACTTTCATTAATGCACATATCAAGATATTGAAGTGAATTCACAGTGTCAAAGTCTAGCGAATCTTTCGTTTCATACATTTCATCTATTTCAGCTTGAAGTTTGTGTTGAACTTCAGGATATTGAGCCAAATTATAAGCAAGAAATGACATGACAGTACTGGTGGTTTCATATCCAGCTAAAATCATAACGATCGAATTTCCAATTATCTCTATTTCTGACATTCCTTTCTTGGAATCTTTGTCCAACTCAGAAGCAGGGACTTTAGAATTCAACATAAGTTGTAATAAGTCAATCCGATTTGAAAGAGAATCTTCAGCATTTCTCTGCTGTATTATTTTCTTGCATACATCATTAAAATAACGAAACAGAGGACTTCTCTTACTAAATTTAAAAAGTTTACCTCCAAGTGATGGAAACATAATGCTAATAAGAAATGTTGGATCAAAACGACTATTCTTAAAAAGATTTTTAGCATTGACAGAGATTTGAGGCTCATCTTTAGAATCATCTTGTGAATTAACATCAGTACTAAAAGCAGATGAGCATATGACATCAAGGGACAATCTTGAGAAAACATCTTTGGCTGTAAACACTCCATTTTTCCTGTCAACCGTATTTTTAAATACAGCAAGAGTATTATTCGTACACCAGTCAATGATATTAAACATTTGTCTCAGCCGGGAAGTAGAAAATGTTGGAGTCATTGTTTTACGCATACGCTTCCACTGGCTGTCCGCAGCTTCGAGTAAACCATTCGCCATTTCCTCTCCATTTAAACCCGCAAATCCACCCAATCTATTAGGAAAAGTTGAAAATTCTTTAATAAATATTTGCTGAAGTATTTCCAAGTCATGGCAGACTATCCTAGGCCGAAAGAAAACATAATAACCCCAAATTGGACCGTGTTTTTCTTTTTGATCAGAGTCATAATTGGAAATTCTGTTCATAACTGCTTGCTTCAAATGCCCGAAGTTCCAAATAGAAGGTGGGTCATGTGGAATATGCAGGCTGTTCAACATACTCCATTTTAGTTGAATATAATATCTTGCCAACAGGATCAAAGAGCCTAATAGTATCCATGTTTCAAAGGACAAATATTCAAAAAAATATTGCATAATTATGATAGGTAGTAATTTTCTGAAAATAAACACAAGTATTATTTACAGGGGTTAAAAATCGGCTACCTTTCTTGCTTATACTGAGTAGTCGGAGTTAATGCCAAAAATATTGTTCTGGAGTTTTGAATTGACTTTATAAACCAATACAGACTACAGTATGTAATTACAAGATTTTTGGAACCAAAGCATATCAGGTGAAAACAAATTTATCAAAAAAATTGAACTAAACAAAGCCAAAAATGGGTATGGAGAATAAAATTTTGATGGCAAATGCATTAAACTTGAGGAAAACTACGGTAGTTGCCAAAAATGTTAATAAGAGTAATGATTACAACAAAAAATACTACCAATATATGTCAACTGTCAAGGTACATGGCTCAAAAATTTTGACAAGTCAACCTCATCAAATACTACCAAATCCAGTTTGACTAGGTATGTTGAAAGGTGCATAATAGATAACACTTTTTACTAACAAATAGCCCAATTTCAATATCTAATATTGGGCAGCAATAAATTCCCAATACAATAACCTCAATCAGTAAAAATTAACATGCATTCTGAGGATTGTATAATGAAAAATAATATTTGATTTACGGTAACTCTTTATACCTAATATTATGATGGATGAAAAAAAAATCTCTATCAAGTCTGATATAAATCTACAATACAGATTATCACAAAAGGTTTTTTATAAGATTGGAAAGTATTACATGTCAAAAACAATAGTTAGGTTTCAAGGTAAACAACCACCAGTATTATTAATTTAATATCAGATTTCGGGGCTCCCGAAGTATGCGAACCAAGATGGCGGACATCGGAATGTAATATGTGTACTAGGTTAGGGTTAGGCCATAATTTTAGCTATAAATACTACGGGAGGCTCTTGGATAGTCTTCGAACTGATAATAGGACTAAAATAAGGAAAATTGGAAAAAAATTATCGCCTAACCTTAACCTGTTACCCATGTTACGTTCCGATGTCCGCCATCTTGGTTCGCATACTTCGGGAGCACCCAGATTTGTATACTAGGAGAGTAGGAGTGTTGTTAACAAAATATGTCTATTCATTCAAATGAAATATTTTTACAAAATTTTAATCTATTCAAGTTCAGCATACAATAAAATTCATAGCTTTTCAAAAAATATGCAATATTGGTTTGAAATGAGAAATATGGATTTAAACTACTGCAATAACCTGAGTTCAGGCTGTGCGCCATCTTGGAGCAGATACCTCAGGACGTCCAAAATTAATTAGGAACCAAATTCGCATGAAATACATAAATCTTGATCTGAGGTTAAAACAGGAGTGGGCAAGGTTTTCAGACGAGGGGCCAAAAATTTTGCCCATCTAGAAGGGCGGACCATGTAAATGTGACATAAAAGTTAGGTAAATTTTATGAACAATATTTACAGTGTTACGAAAGCAAAAGTGGATAAAAATAAACCTTGTGCCAAACCTAAATCTGATCGCAATCTTAACAAATTTTTTGAGCTATTTCTTACGCTAAATAATCAAAATTTGGTTTTAATTTGGTGGCGGAAGTATCAGGCGGGCCAGATTGAATTGGCCCTCTGGCTGTAATTTGCCCATGTCAGGGTTAGATAAATATATAAGCACACCTGACAAAACTGTAATTTTATGGCAAAATAAAAAAAGAAACCTTGCCAAATTGGATTGATTGGCAATTTTTACATAACTTACAGTCCTTTTTATATCGATACATAACAGTAAAAGTAGTGTAAGTACAATCCAAGTGGAAATCCATAGATTATTACCAATAAAATTTATATTCAAATACGGTAAATAAAATATATAAAATACTTGCTGTTATGCAAATATATCTTCCCCGAAAGTGTGAAATCTAATAGAACAGGAATAAAATATTACCGGTACTTACGGTTACTTGCTTATATATGCATCCATGGTTCAGTATCATATAATCATGAATATTTGAGTTAGAAGATGCATATTTCCAATGAATGTAATATTCACGATAGAAAAACAGAATAATCTCACTTTTGGATTACTTCTAATAGGTCAGTCAAGTTAAGTACATCATCATTATTCAAGTTTAAAATCTACAAAAAAAACACAAATATATAGAGGGAAGGAACATAATATGATTATATATTTTTTTTGAATATGTGTGAAGAAATGTTGCAATTAGGCCTCTTTTGAGCCACCTGAAAAAAATATCATGCTGACAATATGGATAAACATAATAGTTTAGTTTGGCTATACAGTGCTAAATACTATAGTAGTAAGAGCTACATTACACTTTAGATATTTATTTTACATCCTTGATGATTATTATTAGCAAATAATAAACTGCACTTAAAATAATGAAAGTGCAAAATGTGAATACAGTTAATAGCTTCCTAATGTGGGATTTCCAATAATTTTGTAAACAACACTTAATAATAAAACAAATGACAGCAACTCAAAACCTATCTCTTTCATATAAAAAATCAGAAAATGTGACAAAAAATTTTACTGTGAAGAACAGTTTTCTGAAGTGGAAATAACACCCTTGAGTATACAACACCATGTAAGTGCTAAATTTATCACACAGCATACATTTAACAAACAGCTGTGCAGCATCGGTCTTTGCTATTCAAGCAAATGACTAAACGTGAAGAAGAAAATTGAAAACTTCGGGTTAAAAATGAAGTTAAACAATGTGTTATGATTAAACAAAAAATCAACAAATGTATATACAGCAATATTATACTCTATGTTATAAAGAGAAGCAAAACAAATAATATAATTCGAAACATATAATTTAATACTTGACAAGATGTAAAACTTATTTTCAAGTATTTGTTACTGTAAAAACAGATTGGGTGACTAGCACCTCACTGAAGAAATAATATATTTTCAATAGTTATGTGTATCAAAGCAAGATCAACCTATTAACAATAGAATACATTTATGTGTGGTCGTGTATAGAATAAATTTCCTGAAAGTGAAATAATGTGTATTACATTTAAAGTTGCAATAGTTTTGTTGCTGAAAACTGAACAATTTTTTTTAGTGTAAAGATAATCTTGAGTGAAATATTTGAGCAAGTTCCAAGCATGCATCATATAAACAATATAAGATAAAATTTAAAAAAATACATATATGATATATCATATTAATATCATGTGAAAGGCAGCATGCAAGAAAACGAAATATAATATAAATCAATTGTATTGTTGGTTACATTTTACCAAACCATTAGTTCCATAATAAACCCCTTCTTAAGCTTACTAAAACAATTTGCCCGAAGTTAAATACCTAACCTTAGAACACATTATAGAACTTTTCATCAAATGTTACAAAAGTCACATTGTCACAAAAGTCACAAGAAAAAAAGTACATTTTGTTATTAAACGCAGAATTTGAATCTGAGAATAATAGGATTCGATTATTCTATTGCATCTAACTTTTTTTTAAATTGATTCCTGTCTTTAAGACATCCTGCATAGATAACCATGTGTTTTTTTACCCAAAAATATCAATTAATATATTATGGAAAACAGTGGTGTGTTTGACACATACAAGGCACAAGAACAATACAAATATATACAATATTACGGGTGTGCAACAGGCAGCCTGCAGGCCATAACATGGCCTATCAAAGCCATTTAGTGTGGCTCTTGTCGACACTCAAATTTTTCCCTATTAAGTATGAAATCCTAATCCGACAGTTTGTGTTTAAAAAAGCGCTCACACGGGTAAAAATATATCATGTTTTTTTCTCATGTTCTATAAATTAAATTTTGCCTTGTGAGAATATTTTAAATCGTTGTGTACATGGAAAAACAAAAATTTTTGTGTGGCCCAGCTGAGTGTCTGAAGTTGGTTATGTGGCCCACCAACAAAAAATGTTGCACACCCCTGTACAATATCAAGGAACAATACATGTTACGTTACATTTCAATCTTTACAAATTAAATAGCAATATCAGGGGCTTATTGTGCAGAGCCTTGTCCAGAGTCGAAAGATATAGAACTTGTATAAAAATATATATTATGACTTATGAGTTTCTTTCATCGCTGAAATTGACCAAATTCCATATGACCCACATTTTGAAATATTCTTATTGTTCAATTAAGCTGCATTTTATTAACTGTCTCAATTTGCTATGTCAACATGTTGTGAATTACACTATATAGCAAGTCGAATTCCTGATAGAATAGTAGTTTGACTAGATTTTTAGAGAAGACCTATATAACTCATTTTATATGATTCTATTACATTCTAACATGCATATAAGTGGATAAAATAAGAGATACATACACTGGTATTCCTGGAGACAAGTTAGGGGTTTCTATTTCTGGGCACGACTTTCAGATTAAAATTAACCTTGGATCTGGTGGTCAAATCATATTTAAGCTTCAGTGGTGGCTTCGGTGTTTCAGCTGTTGGTTCAAAGCTAAATTGATGCAGGAGTTTGCAGAATGTGATTTTGATTTCCATCATTGCAAACCTCATTCCAATGCAATTTCTTGGTCCACAGCCAAACGGTTGAAAAATGATGTTGTCAATTTCATCCATATTTCTCATTCTTTCTGGCTTGAATTCCATCGGATCTTCCCAGTAATCGGGATCATGACACAAGGCATAAATCGGAATGGCTACAAGTGATCCTTTCGGAATGGTGAGCCCACCAATGGTGACTTCTTCCTTGGCGATTCTTGAGTTCCGTGGAATGGGGCAATACAAACGTAAACTCTCATTCAAGCACATATCAAGAAATTTCAGCTGATTTACATTATCATAATCCAACTCAACACATTCTTCGAACATTTTATCAATTTCTGTCTGAAGTTGCTTCTGGGTTTCGGGATACTGGGCTAAGTTGTATGCCAAAAATGACATAGCTGTACTTGTTGTTTCATATCCAGCAAAAAGCATTGTGATAGAATTTCCGATTATTTCCAATTCTGACATTCCTTTTTTAGCATCATCTTTCAATTCTGATTCTGGAACTTCCGCATCTGACATTAATTGCATTAAATCGACTCTATCCCCTTTTTCTTTACGTCTTTGTTCCATTAAACCACGACACAAGTCACGAAAATACACAATATGACTTCTTTGGCTTGCATGTTTTGATACCAAACCCTCTAAAAACGGAAATATTGCAGCAATCAGAAATGAAGCTTGAAAAAATCCAGTCCTGAAAAACTTATTTGCATTGGCTGTTATACGAGGCTGTATCTTGGTTTCGTCTTGCGAATTTACGTCAGTACTAAATGCAGCCGCACAAACAACGTCCATCGAAAGTCCCCCAAAAACACTTCTTGCCACAAAAATTCCATCTGTTGAATTTATTTTGCGACGAAATACATCAATAGTATCGTCAGCACACCGTTTCACTATTCCAACCATTTGCCTCAATTTTGCTGTGGAAAAAGTAGGCGTCATAGTCGTTCTGATGCGCTTCCATTGATCATCAAGCGTAAACAACAAACCATTTGCTAATTCTTCTCCATGAACGAGTCTGAATTTATTCACTCGATTTGGAAATTTTGAAAATTCTTTGATATATATTACTTTCAGAATCTCTGGATCATGGATGACAATTCTCGGAGCGGTCATGACGTAATACCCCCATATGGGACCAAATTTTTTCTTGCATTCTAACTCGTATTCAAAAACTTTTTCTGATACTATGATCTTTGCGTGACCAAAATTTCTAACAGATGGAGGGTCATGCGGAATATTCCAAGATGAGAGAATGCTCCATTTGCGCTGAAGAAGATATCTCACAAGCAAGAAAAGTGTGCAAATTAAGAGAAGTGATTCGGCAGATAATAAGTTCAGTGGGTTAAACATTGTAAATATTTTTGTTGACAATGCTGGAAGAACAGATTATTATAAAAAGAAATGATTTATTAAACCTGTTACATCACCCGCATGAAAGACATGAATTTTAAAAAAAATATTCAATACAACTTGATACCTACCGACAGGTCAGATTGGATCCCATGGCAATTGCACGCCGAGCATGCTAGCGCTCCCTGAAAATACACGCGAGCAAAAATCCACTTTCACGGAGAAAACTCGTGATTGTTCACCAATCAGCCAGTCACCATTACAGTTATATTTGACAGTATGAACAGATGAAGGGTGGCGGAATGTAACAGCTGTCAACAAACAGTGCTAACAGGATTTAACATTACAAAGTGACTGGTTATAGATAACACGCACCTTTCCGCTTTTCAGCAAAACATGACGATTATCAATGGGATAAATATATAAATCCTATCCCAACTAGATAGAACAGTCTTAAAACGAAAGAATTTATACCTGTACGAAACTGTTTCTTTCTTTTTGTTTGTGTCAATTATTTTACCTTTGACCTAAATAAAATACGCATCGTCACCGTGGTTTGCGTCAAGTCACGCAGTTGCACTGCTTCGTTCAAATAATTTTATACTTGTTTATTCAGGCTTTTCTCAAATAGAGCCATTCTCCCAGTTGCACGCTAGGTTTTCACGTGCAGACGTGGTCTTGGTATCTCGCATTGCGGACGTTTGGCGTGTCGTTTAAAGTTTAAACAACTTGATAACTACCGACAGGCCAGATTGGATTCCATGGCAATTGCACGCCGAACACGCTAGCGCTCCCCGAAAATACACGCGAACGAAAATGCACTTTCACGGGGAAAACTCGTGATTGTCACCAGTCACCATTACAGTCTGACAGTATGAAGAGTGGTGGAATGAAAACGCTGTCAATAAACAGTGCTAACAAGTACCGGTAATAACATTAGAAACTGACTGGTTATAGATAACACGCACCTTTCGGCTTTTCACCAAAACGCCAAAAACATGACGATTATCAACTAAATCTGTAAATAGACCAGTCTTGAAACGCAAGGCTTTTTAGCCTGTTTGCGTTTTGTTCGCGTCAATTATTTGACCTTTGACCTAAACAAAAATACGCATCGTCACCGTGGTTTGCGTCAAAGCAATCAGTTGCACTGTTAGTCGTTGGTTGCACTGTTTCGTCCAAATAATTTTATACTTGTTTTTGGACACGTCAGTGTACACAACGATCGTTTCAAAATTATGTGGTTGTTCTTTTTCTCCTTCGTCATGTTGAAATCGCTTTTCTCTTTAGGCCGCGAGCCGAGGCCATTTATCTTTCAGTTTCGCAGCGCACATAAGGTAACTACCTGAAAAGCGTCTTTTCTGTAAAACGTGCAACTTTTGGAAGTGGGAACAAGGCAATATTTGTTACTAAATTTTTAAGGAACATTTTAAAATTATTTTCAGGTAGTTACCTGATGTGCGCTACGAAACTCACTTTCTAGGCGTTTTTCAGGGCCTCGGCTCGCGGCCTACTTCAAATACTGGACCAATTGCTTTGAAATTTTCAGTGGTTGAACATTGATTTTGTTGCCATTTTTTCTTATTACTTATACTTATTTCAAAAATTTCTGCGGACTGCAAGAGTTGAACGTGGCTGAAAATATAGGTTTTCACGCGATCTCGGTATCTCTGCATGCGGACGTTTGGCGTGTCGCGGTCACTAATTGCACTCCGAGGTTTCTAATTTTTCACGCCGGGACTGTACGCCCGATTTCTCGCGGGAAAAGGCCATGAAATTCATACTGGTCGGCAGATGAGTACAATATTCGATTTACACAAGATTTGTACAATTCAAGTCAACACTGTTGTACCGTAATGTCTGGGAATCAAAATGAGACATGGTACCGCTAATGGATGTCCGCACGGAAAAGCAAAGGGGTTTTGTCAGACTGTTATTGTCAAAGAGGCCCGGCCTACATGATCTGACCTTAGTACATAAAGAAAGGCCAGTCTAGCAAATGGGCAAAATAGTCTTTACTGACCGATGGTACGGTACCGGTAGTTTACCCTTTACGCCAATTTACCGATTAAAAAACGGCCGTCTAAGCTTACGACTGAACTTAGCGAATTTTTTTACGATATCAAAATATCTCGGGCATAACAATCATTCCGTTCACAAGACCTGTAACGCGTAGGCAGCACTGTGATCATTACCAAAGGCTTCAAGCTTGAAAACCAACTTCGACAAATAATCCTTTATGACGTCATGGCGTACCAAGAGCGACAATTCTCGCGGCAGAAATGTTTCGTGATATTCATGTTTTTTCGCCTCTTAATGACGAGGAAGATCTTTTATAAACATTACTAGAATATAAACGCAATCTTTCCATTGGTTCAAGTTTGTCGTTCTCACCATTATGTCCAAATCACAACCATGTGACATTGGCAAGTTTGAAACTAACGGGAGAATATTGGCGATCGCTGCCTGAAGACATTACGAGGTCCCTCGCGACTCCTGTTACACAACTTAAGTTAGATTCCCATTGTGTCTGAAACGTATTTTTCTTATGATACGTTTATTTTGTGCTGACGAATAAAATGATGATTAATTGATCTATCTGCCTCTTGGTGAGCACTCACACCAGACTTGCATTTTCTATTGAAATAAGGCGCGGCGGTGTGGCTCAACGGGCTAAGCGTTAGGAATACGCTCGCCACCGCACCTCTAATTACTCTGCTCGCAGGTTCGAATCCCATGCAGGGATGGTTATGTGCGAGAGGATTGCTGGACTCCTCGCCGTCGTTGGGTAGTTCACGTAACCGCTGGTCGGTTACGGCTTCCTCCACCACCAAGTCCATGCTTCCGAAAACAAACAATATAACTAATCCCATACCCGACTTGGAATGGTAACCGGACGAGAGGCCGTGGTTCGCCATATGGATAAGCCGTCTTATCGGCTTCCCTCTCCCCCGGGATAAATATGTAAATCCTATCCTAAACGGAATTCACTTGCCCACTTGGTTTTATGCTATTCCAGATTCGAACATAATGCACATCCTTGAGTGTTTACATAGTATGCTTCAGGTCAAAGTAATTCAGTTAATCGAAAGAATCGTTATAACGACTGCCAAATTCAGACGAAGTTGTTTGCAATCTACGTGAATTCTCATGAAACAACGAATATTACATTCGATAGAACATTTTTTTGGTTTAGGACAGGTATAAACGCCAATAGATTACAAATAAAATGCAAATATTTTAATACCAAAATACGGCTCCGTTCAGCAAGTTCATTTTCCGAGAGAGAAAATTCCCAGAGACGCAAATGGGTTTTTATCATACCTCACTTGCTTTTTCAAAATTCCAAGTATATTGGTAAAAATAGTTTAGATGTGAATATATAACTTAATGAAAGAAACATTAGGAAAAAAATCAGAGAATTCATGCAGGGGATGCAAGCATTGACTACTGTGTTGAAAGTGTTCAAAGCCTCACAATGCAGAGCTTTGCCTGACAATTCAATCAAGGCCAGCATCTCATATGAGCCTTTACCAAAGGTATGTAGAAAATTACGCAAGATTATTATAAGATAGATCTGGCAGAAGCACCCTTACATCATTTTGATCGCATTGCTTTGATACCTTGTATTAGTGAGCCTATTCCAAATTGAACCATTTACCTTGCTGGGAATACCAAAAGGTTTATAATAAAATTCTATTAAGTTGTCCAAGTTTTTGTTAGACTTGATGCAGCCAAACTATTACCGGTATATAGAATTTTTAAATCACTCAATATTTGAAAATATATATTACGAGGATCACAAACTTGCAGCGCATATTAATGCTGTTATATTCTATGGTCGCATCATTATATCTGTGAAGTCATTACATTGAAATCAAAGGAGATTGAGAAATTATTACATATTTTGAGTTTATATGTTAATGAGGTACCAAAAACAAATACGTCATTCAAACGAATAGCTATTAATGATAAGATCTAGTCAAAGCTCCAGCGAAGACTGAAGTTTTTAAATTACGCTTGATTGGCAGTACAGGCAGCGAGTAGTCCTCAAGAATCAAATTTGCAAACTATATTGCAGTCCGTTGGTCTCTCATGAATAGCGCTCATTTAAAAAGCAACTTCTAATGTAAAATAATCAACATAACAGAGAACAATAAAACTGATATGGCATTTTATCATTCTATGTTGCGGATGACAAAATATCTATCTCTTCCAACTAATCCACATCGTTCTGGTTATGCATTTTCTATTCCCTCTGTTATAAACTGACATTCATTTTGATCATTCACATCTTTTGGCTTTAAAGGAGAGCGATGATTGCTCATGTTGCTGGTATTAACGGTAAGAGCATTGCGAGAAGGAATAAAATCAGGTTCATATTTCTTCAAAGCCAACAACGCTCTCTGCAGTTCCATAGCTGTTTTGGTGTGTGCCTGTAACAGAGAATACAATAATTAACTACAGATAAGTTGCAAAGGTGTTGTTCTATACCTATTGTACTATCATTGCCTCTCTATGCAACAAATTGGTTAGACTGCAGGTCGCATTCACTCAGGATTGATCTCTAGGGGTGAAGATGCGGTCACCACTAAATGCCAATAGCAACTGACATGGGGTCAGATACCATTACCCCAATCAACATCTAACCCAGGGAACAATGAAAATATGCAGGAATTAGTATATAGTAACTGATGCTGGACTTCAATACAATTAGAAAAACAGCTGAAAGGTAATGAATATATAGATAATACTGAATACTGAAATGAAAAGCTCACCATTTCAAGTGTATTGTATTTCTCTTTGAATTTTATTAAATACTGAATTTTTTGACGATGATTTGAATGTCCAGCTAAAGCAGCATTTTCAGTCATCAATTCTTCTTTTTTAGCCCGAATCTTTTCAAGTTCCTGAATAAATCATACAAACAATATTGATATTATAATGGCTAGAAGAATGCCTGCATATTTTGGAGTTGTACGAAAATCCCACCCATCTCTGTACAAAGCACTCATATTAAAATGTCATTTATACATCATAGACAAAGATTCAACTTTGTGATGTTATTCGCTCAAAAAAATATGGTGATCAAAAAAGCATTTTCAGTTATGAAATAGATACAATTTAAATATATTTGATGAATACGGACCGATCCATTCTGCTAAATATTTGTGAAAAATCACTTTTCTTTATGACTAAGGACCAATCAATATCAAATTTTTAGTACATAAATATGGAAGAAGCATCGTTTGGCCTTTTTCCATTTCATTTTTTTCAACTGATACCCAACCTTCTTGTTCATATATTTCAACATTGCTCTCACAGAGTCTAACGTTTTTTTTTTTGAAATGTTTAAATATCCAGAAATTACCTCTTCCGCATGTTTTCTGAATTGCTGGGCTTCTTCGAGTTGATTTTGCATATCTTGAAGTTGGTTTGATTGATCTTTATTGTTGTTTTTCAGTGATGAAACCATTTGTTCATACTCCATAGCCCTACAAAAGATTATCTAATCAGTGTTTTGAAATTTAGAAACTGAATGAAGCCTTTATAACTGGTCATGCTGAAATGATCATGATGAATGCACTAGTTTTTTTGTTAAATATGTTGTTATTTATCCTAAAATGATGAACCCTCTTTGGTATTTTATTCCATAATACCATAATTAAAAATTTGTTGCAATTAACAATTTTAGGACTGTGACGAAACATTAGATTTTCAATAACATTGTTCGAATTGATACAAAAATATAGAAAATTATATTTACAACATTTCTCTTGTTTCTCTAAGTTCAATCTTGTGTTTCTCAACCAATTCTTCTTTCAAGCTCTCAATTTTTTTTAATTTCACCTAAAACACACAAAAGACAAAGTTGCAATGAAAGAAGTCAACTCAACCTTTCGTTGCAAATTTGGCTAGTTTAGCCTATATTACCACCACCACCCAAGGACACAGTATTTCACCAAAATTTTGCATTTTATTTTAAATAAAGGGTAAATTTTTTATTCCATTATGGTTAACCATACTGTTACATTTCTACGCCAATCTTTTCAGAGTGAACTCGGTTCTTTCATCCTCTCAGGCCTTATCGATTTGAGAAAAGACAAACCATTCAAATATATTTTTCAAGGTAAGTACAATTGGAAAGAATTGCTACAAACTCACAAAACCAAAAGATTCTCTAAAAATTAAAAGAAATGAGACAAGAATATTATAAAAATTATTATTGAGTTAGAGTCGAGGCTAACAATTTGATTATGTTTCGTTCGTTTCACATAAGCTGAAAAAATCAAGATGATGAAGTCACTGACAATGTGATTACCGTACAATGATGGGCTAAGGACAATGTAATTTAATACTACTGAGGTAAAATCAATGTGAACCGTCATGGGAGTAAGACAAGGCCAACCTCCGTCTCCTTTCCTTTTTCTATTATTATTTCTTCTCTTTTGTTAATTTCCTTTTGTAAATTTTCAATGGTTTTCTTAGTATCTTCCACCTTTTCTTCTGCAATTTTTAGTTTTTTATCTAAAGCAGAATATTGTTCGTTCCAGCAAATCACGTCTTCTTGTAACGACTCCATCTGTAAATTTATTACGAAACTACATAGATGTATTGCAACACAGGGTATAAGATATAGCAGATTAAGAGCACAATAAGGGAGTTGCAGTATGGCATGATTACACCAGAACCGGATTCATATTTTCAAACCCCCCAGAATCGAAATTTTGGATTTCGTCGAGTAGAGATTTCTACATCAACTGAAAATAGTTGACCAATCGTTCCTAACAGGTTATTAAAGAAGGTTTCCATTACCAATTTTTTAGCATTCAAAATTTGATTTCTCAGTTGCTGACTGCCAACTTGATTGCCGATATAAGAATAGAAGAGAGCGATACTCAAATATATGAACATGAAGTAGTACAAGTAAGCAGTCGGTCACCGTAGCCATCTGGCACGACACCACAGTATATACAAGATCGTTAACGTGAAGACCTAATCGCAGAAATTTTTGAAATAAATAAAAGTAATAGCCTTCTAGAGAAAAATACAATCTTTAACCACTGAAAATTTTAAAATAATTGGTTTAGTGTTGAAGAGAAAAGCGATTTTTTCATGACAACAAGAAGAAAAACACAACAACATATTAATACCGAAACGATCTATATGTGCACTTGGTGTCCAATGACTATCTATTTCAATCATGAAATTATAAAATTGATGTCTAAAAATCCTACCTGAAATTCATATTTCGATTCTTTTGTTTTATAAATTTCTCTTTCATCATTCAATTTCCTTTCAAACATTACCCTCAATTTTCTTTCTTTTTCCAAATAAGACTCAGATCTTTTCATCTCTTCCTTAAATTCCTCTATTTCAGCTTCATATCCAATATTTTGATTTTGCATTTCAAAATAAGAACCTTGCAATTCCATGTATTGTTTATGCAGTGTTTTAATAGCAATCTGGTAAACAGTAAGTTAGTGATAGGAATGGCATTGCATAGATCAAGGTGGTCCAAACCCAGGCCTGCGGGCCACACGTGGCCCGCCACTCTATAATCTGTGGCCCGTGTCGCATTTGCGGGAGGATAAACAAAAATCTCATTTGGTGTTGTTTCGCCAGAAAAATAACCAGAAAAATCTTTGGACATATTGTTACATCACTAATGTCACCGAAGTGACTAGTGTTATGGCTAGTTGTAGCAAAGTTGAATAATGTGCTTGGCAGTCTATATTGTTAACTGCTGGATTTCTATTTTTTTGGTCAGGAATATATGCTAACAAAATAGGCTTCATAGAAAACTAAAAATCGAATGAGGAATTTATTAGCCTAGGTTGACTATGCCTGATAAGTTGAAAACTAAACATTATTAATCGCCTGTATCTCAAATTTACTAAAATTCGGTAATCAATCAATCAGCAGTTATTTGTAAGTTATTTTGTAAACATGAGTTTGAAGAAAACTGACCAATTCAAACAGATTTTTGACTGGATATAGGATGGAAAATACCACAATGCCTGCTTGATATGTCTGCAAGTTGTGTCAGTGACAATCTAAAGCAGCATTTTCTCCTTATGGCAGAGTTGGAAATCTTGAACTAAATGTAGATATAGTACAATCTGTGCAGGTTTCAGTGAGTTTTCTGGTGGTTTTTGCGCGTTTTCGCTTGATAAATGACGTTTGGACAATAAAAATGTTTGTTTTGTATTGCACTGTTTATCTATTCTTGGCACTATTGTGGCCCGCGAATAATTCAAAAATAATAGTGTGGCCCGCCAGACCGACAACCTTGGACCACCCTGGCATAGATAATAAAAAATTAAGTCAAAAGTACCATTTGAATGAGGGTGTCCGTAGATGACTATTTATTGGATTGCCATTAACACACAATAAATAATGGAAGACAAAGTTAGGTATGAAAATGAACAGACTAACAGTACAAAATTATTCTAAAAATTTTTTTTTTCTAAGGATTGGGATAATTGTATTATTGTTAGGAAAACAGACCGTGTTGAACTATGTCAAATACTTACATGTTATTTTCAGTATTTCGCACCATATGGTGCATTAGTTTCATTCGCTATGATAATTTAAAATTCTGCTTCGACACAAAGTTTTTTTTTTCGGTATGTCAGTTATTTTATTCCAAGGAATCCAATTGTGACAATTTTAGATTGCGCTTCCTTTTCTTGAAATGTGTTGGAAACGATCAGGCTTAACAATTCAACCATTGTGCTCACAAAAACACATTCCCAATGTAGTATAAGAATATTTAAAAAAACCTAATATTTAAAATAATAAACCATAAGTTAAGTTTTACTTAAACCAACCTGATCTTCCAATCTCTCCTTTTTCACATTTTCTAACTCTATATTTAAATTTCCTTTTCCTGTATTCAGTGTAGTAATTTCTTCTTCCCTGATTGCAAGTCTTTTTTCTAATTCAAATTTAGAATTGCGCAATAATGATAATTGTTCAGAAGTTGTTTTACTTTCACCTTCTAATTGTTGTTGCAGCGTAAAACAGTTTTCTTTTTCTTGTACCAAAAGTGCTTCTTTCTCCTGACGTAGAAAAATGACATAGTAAGTTCCATATTGAGTTTAAAACAGGGTGGTGATCTGATCGACTTAAGCGACTTTTGCGGTATAAAAGCAGTTACCAAAGAGCCCCGTAGAATACTTGAAATAAAACTTGGTGAGCAATATGTAGCTATATGGACGCAGAGGTCACTATCCCTACTGTGCCTTTGTGGAGCACCAAATTTACTGAAAAAGTAGACAGGCGAGAATGACAGAAGAAAGAGTTCCCATATGCCATAAAAAATGTTCCTGTGAATCGAAATAAAAAAGTAAAATTTTGGGTGAAATATACGGGGGTCCTATAGGGCTCGGAGAATATTTGAAATGTAATAGACTTCTAGCAGCTTTGATCATTTTCAAGCGATGAAAATTTGAAATTGATTGATCCCTCAGTTGTGAAGAAAAGCGGTTTCTCACAACAGCAATGCAGAAAAACGATCTATTTGTACACTTCGCAGAGAAAAAAGCAATTATACTAGCCATTGCCGAGGCTAGTTTGCTCCAGTTTACGACTCCCACCAGAAACAAAGTGATCAACTTTTTATCTCTGAAATAAATATAAACTATCTACATTCAAATTATCAAAGCAAACCTTCAAATCTGCAATCAAGTCTTTATTTTTAATTTGTTCCGATTCTAACAATTGAGTTTTTTCTTTTAATTTTCCTCCAAAGAATTCGAGTTCAAGTTTTTGATTCAAAACGTCAACTTCTAAAGTCTGCGCTTCTTTTAAATAATCTTCGTTTTCTTTTTTTATTTTAGAATGGTGGATTTGCTTCTGGAACAACTCTGCTTCCAAATCAGTGATTCTCTGAAACATGTGAGTGAGTGTGTTATGTGAGTGAGACTCTTGCTCGCACCTCGTGCTCAACACCTCACAAGGGTACTATAAATTGGTCGAGCATAACAGAACGGAAAGGGTTATAGCCTTTTAAAAATACTAACTTCTTATACTTTAGTATGCACAGGACAGAACTGTATGAAAAAATAAGTTATGATGCTGTTAATGGCAGTGGCTCAAGATGTTTACACTATAACCGTGTTGGGTAGAAGACCACAGAGCAGAGTCATTAGTCGAGTCAATCAAAGTTAAATCTGAATGGTGGTTAGTTGATGACGAATGCCTTCGAATCTTTGATATATGGTGACTCTGTACAACTTAAGTACATCAATTACTCAAGCCTTCCAACAATAGAATAGCCCTGATGTTCCACAAAATACTCTATGGGATTCTGTAGGATTCTGTGGAAGAATCTTGCTCATTGATAATATAGAATTTACATATTTATCCAGAGAAAAGTCGACAAGATGACCTAATCAAATGGCGAATCACAGCCTTCCGTCCGCTTACACTCCCGAACCTGTGTGTGTAAACTGTGCAATTTGCCAGTTTTATTTGCGTGAAACAGTTTCTACTTTTAACAACAGTGAAAAACTAAAACATAGGTCGCTTGAGTAGTGTAGATATGCGCATGATTGTATTTACCACTCTAGAGCCACGATTTAAGCAGTTTGTGAGATAAATGCAAGAAATGAAGATTCAATATATTATTTGCTAACTGTTGTGGTAACTCCGCATTATTATCGTTGGAATGACCAATACCAACCTTCATACATTGATATGTGTTTTTACTTTTCCTTATTAGGGTTCCATGTAAGCCAATAGCATTCCACACAAGAGGGAAAAGGTTGGACAGCACTGATATTAAATAATACCGTTGTTAGTGACTTTTCTCTGTCTTTATGTTCTTTTATTACTTCCCCTTGACTTTCCAACATTATCCTTGCCTCTTCAAGTTCTTCCATTTTACCTAAGAAAATAGAGAAAAAAGTATATCTGCTATATCTGCATGCTAAAAATAGATATTTCCCAAAATTTCCTGTTCATATTCGTGATCGTGACTAATTCTAAATAAGTCAACAATGACATTACAACTAAAATTTGAGGCATGACTGAAATCATTGGCTTGTTTTCATATGTTATCTTTTTACTCAATTGGAACCGTCAAAAAAACGGGATAGACGAAGCTTTTCAAATTTAGCTATCGATACTTTAGAATGGAAGCTAGTTGTACATTTTGTAACAAAACCATGTTTTTGAAACAACCAATTTCGACGCTCACTCTCGAAAATACATTTAAAATAGGAAATAAAATGATGAAGTGTAAGAACACCATTTATGGGGTCAAGGGTCAAGAAAAGCAACTGATGAGATTAGGCATATCAAAACAGTGGAATAATAGAGATTTTTTGGAATATTTAATTAATTAGATTATTTAATTATCAGAACTTAAATTCATAACAAGATAAAAACATATGATTAAATAAACAATTTGGTGCTACATAATTTTGTTCATTTCACCGAAATATGTTTTTACTTGAAATTCTATATCTTCGTTACAAAATTTACTTGGCCTTGGCTTATCATACAGCCTTTAAAAAGATCATTGTAGAATGGGCAAATATATGAAATGCTTTTTACCTTGAAGATTTGCTTTATGTGTCGCAGCATCAGCTTCCAGCCAATATAGTTGATTTTTTGCATCTGAAAGATTCTAAAAACAAAATCAAAATTTCAAACCACAACCAACATGAAGTTGGATCAGGATCGATAACAGATAAAAATACTTAGAAACCAAGACCAGAAAACTATAGCCATCCCTAGAATACAGAGGGGCGATGACTCCAGTCCAGACTACAAAATTTTATCCTTTCTCTCTAACTCTTGCACACATCTTTCTTTTGCCTCGTGCGCTTGTCGTGTGCAGCCATGCGCAGCGTAAAGTTTCAATATAGTTATGAAAAAGTTTTGTTAACATCCCCATAACGCTATCTTAAAGTTATTATTTTGTTCCTAGCTCACAAATTCTTGCCATGTAATATAGTTAATCTGTTGCTGGATCCCTTTTCCGACTCTAATTCATGAAGATTGATAGCTAAATTATTGGAGCCTAATTTTTACACGAGAGCATCAAGGAAATAAAAATCGATAACAGGACCAGACATTTCAAAAAGGAAGGAATTGTCAAAACACTGGATCAACTGCAGTGCTTCTTGTATGACAAAAAAGCGTTGCTGTTTTGAGAGAATACAATATCCTTTGCCACTGTAACAAATCATTTATGTAACACTTACATGATCGCCAGTTCGAATGGGAGAAATTTTCGCCGCTGGTGCTCAAACCTTACCTACCCCTGGTTTATACTATGGAAAATTGGAAAATACGACAGACTACAAATCCAGTGAAATCATTTCAGATTCCCACTACACAGATCTAGACCAATCAGGATGAAGTTACATAAGTATGAGTATTAGTATACAAACCTGCGTAATTAAAGCTAACTTTTCCTTCAATGTATTTTCAGATTTCCTAACTGAAGCCAAATCACAATCCTTAGATAAGCTTTCTTCTTTAAATTTTTCCATTTCTTGTTTGACCTATGATAAAAATTGTGAAAAAAAATTTTTTTTATTTTACATCGTTACATGGGACAGTATTGACAAAAATGATCATAGCTCTGATTTTGAAGTGAACTAACAATTTTAGAAGACTGACCTGGGATCCCATTCGCCAAACTTCGAAAAAAGCCGCGTTTACGAGCACGTAACCTTGTCTCTCAAAAACGCAGTTACGAAATCTCGTTAAGTGCGATTCACGAAACATCTCGTAAAAACTTTACGCACGGTCACGCAAGTTCTCTCGAAATCTAACGCACGGTCGTCGATGAACAAAAACCACTGTATGATCACTCAATCGTATCATTCACTGTCGCCAGCCGCCCGGCGCAGATAAGCCTATTTTGCAATGATCTCTGTTTTACTTTTTGCAGCCTGTGATTTAAAGTTTGGGGAATAAAGCAGTAATCTATGGATGAATGGAATAAATTCTGAGATACATATTGTTAAACTACTTCTGTAACAGACAACAAAATAGATAAATAATGTAATCCCATATTTGATGTTGGTACGTTGTTAGTTGGCATATATAGGTTGGTCCACAGCCACTAAACTGCAGTCACTCACACCTAAGTTAGGCATTTAGAGATTTTTGATACCAATTTTTGTATGCAAACACCACAGCATTTGTTGGGATGCATGTCACACCTACTTGTCTTAGGCCAGTAAGGTATTGAACATGTATCCCGTCTTAGTTATATCGTTTATTTATTTTGTAGATACTGTTACAAACAAACACACATACATTTTCACTTCAATTCATGCTAAGAACAGGCCGAACTACTGTTAACGAGTAAAATTTTTCCCTCGTTAGTTTGCGAGCACTCCGGTGCGTTAAAGTACGTTGGTGAATACAGATTCTCGGTAAAATGAGAGAAGACTCTTTACGAGACGCCTGTTTTGGCGCGCAAAAAATTCTCTCGAATATTAACGATACTTCGAGAATACAATTTTTGCCTTTTACGAGAAAGTGGGTGCTTTACTAACACGTTAAACGATAAAGAAGTTTGGCGAATGGCGCCCCAGAACAGGACTCAACGAAACAATTTTAGAAGCTAGAACAGTCATTTACTTGGAATATATATAGCAGTGAATTTGGTGTCGTCAGTTTAAACATGGCGCCGAAACTTCAGTTAATTTTAAATTTTTGTAGTAATGTTGATCATAGTAAAAATTTCTGCCAGAAACACAAAGAGCATCAAATTCTGACATGGCATTATCAACAGACGACCAGAGAAAGAACGAAGACAAAAAATCTCAAAGTTTGATTGAGTTTTTCAGAGTTCAGAACTGGGTCAGAGTCGAATAGTTTTTTAATCTGGAGTGCGAGTTGAATTTGTTTAACAACCCAGAGTCGACCTTGTTTTAAATTTTTACTTTTTCAATTTTTAATATTCAATAAATTTAATTTTCAGCCATGAGTTGTGAGACAACTATAATTTTTTTTATATTTCCACAGATCCAATTTAAATTATGCAGTAGGCTACATGTTAAGACCCATTGCTGTTGTCTTTATGCAATGCAAATTTCATGATTTCTTTCTGAAAGCCATTTTTTATTCGAAGAAAATTGTGACAATATCACCATCTTAAAACTACAAGAAAACCAAACTTTGATATGTGCAAGCCATCTTCAATTGAATATTAAGAATATTTACCAGTAATGAACTTAATGCTAATTTCCGTCGAATATGTTTGATCTCCATTATAATTTATAAGTCTTAACTTTCTACTCTTAACAATTTGAGTTTGACTCATTCATCCCTGGGTAGTTTGAAAATACAACTGTGATTCCAATATCAATAAAAACAAGTCAGCTCTTGATCAAAATCCCTAGCAATGATACATAAAACAAAGTAAAAAAAGATTAAAATAGTACAACATTACATACTTGTTGAAGTTCTTCCTGTAATTCTTCATGGACCATTTTTTCCATAACTTCAGGCATTTTTTGATCCGTTAACATCGATACATTCAAAAAGAAATCATCATCAAAAAGTGCTTCAGAACCTGTAAAAATGGAACAGAATTTTATGAACACTAAACACTGATATAAAAAAGCAACAAGTAATTCGATTTATTGAAAAGGAAAAGATATGAGTTTATCAATGAAGTCAATGCTTCTCAAATTGTGATACCAGGCATTTTCAAAATCGGCTCTTTGATTAATGAATCTAACTCGAGTCTCCCGACATTGGATTTCTATAAACGATCATTATTTAATAGTGTCGGGTGATAGTCCCTAAACCCGGGTAACGAGCCTATCAAGTCTCATCAAATCCGAAGTCGAGTCAATCGCTGAGTTAAGTCTCATTGGGGGTTAGTTGATGATCACAGGTCAGGTCGTTCCATTTCGAGCAGGGTTTCTTAAACATTTCAGGTCATGGACCCCTATTTATGAATCTTGGTTATGACTGATCCCCATCCTATGCCGTATCAATTTCTATGCCTAACCAATGAAGAAGGATAATGTTTTCATTTACAATACGACACAAACGACATTGATATGATGATGCGGTCGCTTCCTACTGCATAATTTATCAATTCTCGGAGCAATTTGTTACAAACAAACTCTTAAGTCAGGCCTTACGGCAAGTCTACCTGTATTTTGTCTTCATATTGGTAAGAGCTGAAAATGCTGCCTCACACATGTAGATAGTTTCAGGAGCAAAAAAAAAATTATTGCATTTTTTGACTATAATGGATATTCGTCCGCAACGCTTGACCAAAAATTTGCAATGGCTTTTAAATTGAAATCGATCATTAAAGATCAATCAGACTTTTATCATATCTTTGCGGACCCCTGTGTAGACATCAAGGCCCCCAGGGGTCATGGACACTCAATGTGAGAAACACTGATTTGGAGGACTCTCTGACAACTGGTAACTTGAGTCCAACTTGCAAGACTGTTCTACTATAAACGATTACTTACTATCTAATCCAGATGATATCGAACTACCTCGTGCTATTTTGGAACGTGACGAACTAGCACCTTCTGTGTTTTTTCTTTTGGGTGTTGTGATGCGAATGATGGCATTTTCATGCATTTTACTTAATCTTCTTCGCTGCATTGTGTCCTCAGCTAGATTAGCGTGTAAAACTCCTTCCAAGTCTTTCACTTGATTTGTGTGCTTTTAAGTTCAGCCTCAAGGTTTCGCGCTTCTTTTCTCTAAACGAGGGTGTATGTACTTGCAGGGATGGCCAAACGTAATAATTCACTTCTTCGAGTACATTACTTGATTGGTTCAATACTTTCACAGTTTTTTTGAAAAAAGTCATTTCATATTCATTCGTCGAAAAGGTAATCGGAATGATAATATAACGTCTTTATCATATGGCGTACTACAGCCTCTCGTCCAGTTAGCAATCCATGTTGGGTATGGGAATATATAATCAGTTATTTGTTTCAAATGCACGAGTGGAATTGATACTTGAACCACCCATCAGTGACAAGGAGTCTAGTAATAGTAACCATTTTGATATAACTATGCCACACAGGATTCAAACTTGCATACCCGTGCAGGGTGATAAGAGTTGCGACGGCGAGTACGTGGCACAATCCGCTAACCACCGAGCCCTGAATTCAATCATGTAACTGTCGTGCATAATAACAGGTTTGTAAAATTAAAACTTTGCAAATCTGGTTAAATAATTGAAACTATACCTTTTCTAATAATATACTTACTCTAATTATATACTCACTCTAATTGTGCAAATTCATCATTTCTGGATTTCAATTTTTGTTCCAATTCTGCTATTTTTGCTTTTGTCAGCGGCATCGTTGACTAAAATTTGGGTGTCGAACCATTGGAATCGAAAACAGATTCTCTTCTGCTATGCATGAACGAATCTGGTTCCATTTCACTGAGCAATTGCTCGTACAATTGATCCAGTTCTTTTTCTTGTTCTTTAATAGCTTGAATAGAAATTTTACAGTTTTACGCATCTCGACCAAACAGAATTTACTTGGTGATGATGTAGTATATTATAAAATGTTAATATCTTCATTCGTATTATAAAGAAATACATTTACGAGATGACAATATTTATTTTTGAACATGCAAAGAAGAACCATATAGGAATAACAATGAGTTAAAGTCGGGATATTGAGCCCCTGTTTTGAACACAGATGCTAGGGAGCTAACTGGTGTTAGGCGTTATCTGTTTTGGCACCAGCCCGACTTTAACAAGTGTTTATTGAAACAGTTAACATAGGAAAAAATTTTCAGAATCACAAATACAAAAGATTTATAACAGAATAAAACATATATTTAAAACAGATATACCACATTATAAACTTGTCCATAAATACGAAACAGATTGCCTTAAATTTAAAGTGAGGGGGGTTTCACTCCGTCTTGAGTGAGTGCCCTTTTCTCGCTGAGCAATCCTATATATAATACTTAAAATGTTCGGTATGTACCTTGACTCTTAATGTAGTCTGTCGAAGTTTTTCGACTTCGTGTTGTAACTCCGTTATTTTCGTCTTTTGTAAAGCAACTTCAGGGTTATGCAAAAGCTGTTAATAATGAATATGATATGTTGATAAAATGCATCTTCAATTTCTCTAATTTTGAGACTTATGAATTTTGACTGTTGTTTTATGCAGGATGGTATAGTCTGGAAATATTTTACAATAGACTCGACTCGAGAATTTTGACTCTTGATACTGATTTTGAGTTGGTGAAAATTTGGATTGGACTGAAGCTCCGAACTTAAAAAATCATATTTTGATGATGAGCTTTATTTGGCATACCCAATTATTTTAGAATTTTTGTTAAAAATTTTGATTTCTATTATCACTGTAAAAATCCTGAAAATCGCAATCAATCGATTCAAATTCGAAAATTACTCAAAACAAGTCACCTCACTCAGTCATAAATAAAGGAGATTGATATTTGAGAGAGTAAGTCCAAAGAGCTACAGAGTCTACTAGCCTGGTCTTTCACAGCTTGCAGTTCTTTTTCAATGCTTCAATTCTTCATCCCTTTCTGGAGTTTTTCCTTTCCTCAACTCAGAAATTTTTGAATCTCGAATTTAATAATAAAATTACGGGACATATTAAAGTTATTCATTTTTGTGATATGATTTTTAGTCGCTTCTTAGTTCGGTCTCTTAGTCTGTGATTCATTTGCCATCGCGTTTAAAAAACATTGTCTTATATCGTCGTAATAATAATCTGAAAAAGAAAAGGTGTCATTATATTTGGGCCAGGTAGAATACACATAAAAAAAACAGAATAGGGTTTCTCTAACAGTGCCCTTGTCCCCCGAAGGGGCCACATAGCGGTTCTAAATTCGCAGTATTGGCATCGCAGGTTAAAAATCTTGGGTTCAAATCCCATGGTCACCACCTGACCCAGGTCGTAACAAATGCCGTTCCTCTAAAACTATAGCAACTTCATACCTAGCAGTAGCTGGTCGTACAAGGCTTCGTTCGAATTGAAAAGCCTATAAAAATGACATTAAAAAATATTGAGAAGTAATACTAGAAAACTTTTCGATCATTGATATGAGCCACCAATTGAAAAATTACTACGTTTAAAATATCAGACAAACCTTTAGAAAGTTCAGATTTCCACTTGATCACTTATACTTGCTAATGTTCTGTTTTTTTCCGCTACTTTCATATCGACATATTATGGCTTTCAATCTTCTATCTCATCTAGATAATGAAATATTGGCTCACAATTACAAAGGCCATTTTATTTGATTAGGAGATACTTTTCACTGGCCAGAAGTTAAGAATGTAATATATAGAAGCAAGCTCGTGAGACAGGACCGGATAATAAATGCCAGCATTTCCCAACTGAGTAGAATATCTCCCCAAGGTGAATTTTTTGGAGGAGGAAAACAAAAAGTATTACTTTGTATTCTGTATAGTTTAAAATCAGGTGTGTGCAATGTATGATCCGAGGGGCCCGCAGAGAAGTGGCAATTTTGAATGGTGTGCGGCAACATAACAAATTTTTGATTGAGTTTAATCTGGTATGTGTGAGAAGTTCCAATCTCTTTCCCCTCACTTTTGTGCCTGCAACTACTAGAAAGCATATTTGAATAATGGTGCGGCACGGGGCTTCACCCAGTTATTTGTATTTGGCCCTTCTGTTTTAAAGGTTGCACACCCCTGGTTTTAGTTAATTAGTATTATTGTAAATTTGTAATACATTTTTCATGCACCGATGAAAACTCATTAAACTGTGCAAAAGTCAGAGTAACAGTTACAGTTTAAAACTTAATCCAGCATAGTAATCAAATGAAAGCTAAAGAAAGTATTGTTTTGTCACAATGGCAGGAAAAGAATCAAAACAGTCTGCCATTGAATATTAGGCAATTTCTTTAAAAAAAAAATTAAATTGCATTCACCTGTAACTGTGTATAATCTCCCTGAGTATTTTCATTCACTCTTGCTCTGTTTTTGATTTGTTTAGCTCGTGCCGCGAATTGTAGAGTAGAGGTAGTTTCACCGAAGAATTGTGCGTTCGGATGAACATTAACGATTATAAAAGTTTTCGCATTTCCACCCAGAGAATCCTAGAAGAAATTTAAGTTTTATATCACGGCTCTGGAAAGAAATTGGCAACAGATTATTGACCGTTAACCCAAATCGGAAATTTTGACTCCGACTCTGGTCCCCGAATCCGTGTTTGATGTTAGTTTTGTCGTCCTAAAATCAAGAGGAAATCAAATTGATTAAGAGAAAAAAACTTTGGCATATGCAATCCTCATTTGATAGACTAATAAAAATGCTTCGTCCACTTAGAAAAGTTTGATTTACATAATTCTCATGGAAATACTCAACTTCTCTCCACAAGCTTAGGCTCAATGATAGTATTTTTTACAATTACTGAAGAGATTTGGAATCTTAATTTGCGATGCTAACATAATTACAGTGATAACCTCGGTTGGCAAACATAATTCGTTCAGGATAGGTGCTCGACTATAAATTTGTTCGAGTAACGACCCTTTTTTTTGCACTAAAAAATGGAAATTATTTTAATTCGTACCTAAGCATTCCGAAATACCCAATTTATCAACAAAACGTAAACGTACCTAAACAACATAATTATTTGAACGTGTATTAATATAGATAAAGATGTGGGTTCCATGGGTGACGTCATCCCACTGGGCGGCACACTCTTGTGTTTTAGCACTGAATTTTCGTTCGAGTATCAGGTTGTTCGATTACCGAGGTATCACCTTATAGTTATACCAGGCCCAATCGCAGCACACCACCAGGTCCCCGCGATTTAATTCCAAACTCTACCTACTTAGGCATGATTTTGATGTATACCATAATTTTGTTTTATAATCTTGATTAATCCAAACTCACAAATAACAATAACAAACAAACCAAGTGAATAAAAAACAAACTTCTGCCTAAATCTCACCCTCAATAAAAATGTCAACTTTGAGTTCCTGTAAGAAATATGTCTTGTTTTATTGTGAGCAACATCATCTAATTCCATGATAACTTGTCCGAGAACTGAAAGAGACCCGTTAATTTTTCCGGCTTCTTTAAGCTGCGTTCCGCTTGCTAGTGTATCTTTTTGTCTCTCAGAACCAGCCAAATCAACAAGATTTAATACAGATTGTCTCACTTTGGTAATGCTAGCTGAAAAATTAAAGTTAAAATGGAAAATTAAGCTTGTATGCACATAATTGAGCATCGCTCTCTTGTCGAGAGGCAGTCGAGATGCGAAGATGGGTAGCGTCATCTCACTTGGCAGCATGCTCGTGTGTTTGAGCATCGATCGAGTGCCGCATCATTTTTGACTGGAATTTTTTGGTCAACCATCGAATTGTTAAAGTATCGAGACGTTCGACTACCGAGGTATTTCTGCATTTTCATCCATCCTAAACAGTGCAGGTTGCAACCCTTTTCACTGAATGGGTGAAACACACATTATATATTTCTCACGGATAACAAGAATGTGGGTCATATTAGTCTTCATTTATCAGAGTAGTTTGTGAACTTTTTGCAAGATTTGAAGTATTATTTATAATATATATTTTCAAAACTCTTTTATGGGTCCATTTCTGATTCATGAACCTCCAAAAACCACTCCATGGCAGGAGCCACCGCAAA